TAACAAAAAAATACCGGAAATATAATCAGGAAAATGTAATGTTATTCTTACACACACGGCATGTGATAATTTAAAAACCGAGTTTGAGTAAAATCCGTTATACGAAAACCAAAAATAGCGTTAAGTTAAGTTTTGAACTTATTTTGGTAATATTTCAAATTTTTCTCACTTATAATAGTCAGTAAAATATCAACCAATATACAAGAGACAAAGCTATCATGGTCTTACACATGTAGCAGGGTAGTACATTGAAGCCGTGTATTTTCTCACGTGATTTTACCATAAAACCTGGGTTTTTAAGTCGCACTAATGGTCGCAATCAAATGTACATTTTCAGCAAATCAACAAAAAAATATTTTCATAATTTTAAAACCGCTGACAGAACATTTCAGTAAATTTTCCTTTTTATTTTTAAACATCGCGAAAATAACCTTTCATTAAGCACCTATAATTTGTCGTAGTTCTGAACATGAAGTCTTACATTTTTTAAAAATGAATTTGTTACTTACCGATAATCTTCAGAATTATGAAATGTCGCCGACCGTGCTGTCCATGCCAGGCTTGCACGAGTGTTGGTGCCCGGCGACACGACTCATATAGGCACGAAAGGTCCACCTACAAAATGGCACCTGATAAGAAATCGTTCTTTGTATTTTTTTAAACACTATCTAATCGAGCACATTATAGCCACTTCCTGTTGACTAAATTGCTGGCAGGAAAATGAGCCGGGCCGATAGGTATTATGATAGTAAAAGGCCATGGCAATGCCCCCATGTGCTCAGTTAAGTTGTGTTTTTCTTTTTCAGGAAACTACAGTCCACATATATGGAGAACTAAACGGTTAGGGAGTGATGCGTTGCCAGAATTTCTTGTCCATATTATGGGCAGCCACAGCTGTTATACAATGGAATTCAATTGTATTCAATTTAGTGATCCTCATGTCGTGAGAATTTTAATAACATGGTCATTATTTGAATCCCATGTGTTTCACCCTCTCCAGCCACCATTATCATGAAGCCCGACCGCTGAAACTACCTTCACCTTCTCACCAGTCAAGCCAAAGCGTATTCCTCTCTCAAGCCAGCAAAGGGACTAATATCGCAGTGATTTTACTTTTTGGTCACAAACAATACATTAGTTTATAAAGCACTTTTCAAAGTGCTGAGCAATTATGCAGCCGTATTATGGCCACGCGAGAGGAAGTCTGGGCTGTATGGATAAAAGATAGCCGTGTAGGAGCAGTAACGAACGTGCAAGCTATGGGGGGGGGGGGGGAGGGAGAACCAAAAGCAACAGAAAAAGAGGAGTTTTGAGGCATGCCTTGTGGATTAAGGAGTGCTTTCCATAGGCGGGGAGCCATGGCGCAAGAATACACGGTGGGTCGTCCTTGGGTCAAAGACGCGGCCTCGGGATGCAGAGTATGCCATGATAGGAGGCCCGTAGGTTGCGAAACCGTGCCGCGAAGATTCTATTGGTCACGAATGCATGTCGGTGCAAGCCCTCTTAATGCTTCAAATGTTTACCATAGACTTTTGCATTTTGGCATTTTATTTAATCTTGATGCAGTTTTTCCAGTTTATAACAGTATGTTTAAATGTTGTTTCATTTATAATTTTTTTGCATAAGAGCTTGGATGACTACATAAATTTCCAATGAGTTAAATATTTTTTGCAGTCTCTAAAGGTCAGGGACAATGGTCTCAACATTCCAAAGTATTTTCCAGAATACTGTAGTTTTTATAATCTAGAATTTTTTTTTGTATAACTTGACTCGAGAACATTCTACAGCTGCAGTCTATATTTTGTGTAATAATTCGTATCTATAGCAGCAATACTAATGCATAAAACAAGATAACCATTAGCGACCTTGTGGATACTAATAAATCAAACGATCCACCACCTTCAGATCTGTCAATCCACAATTATTTTTTTACATATCCCATCAGCCACACCCCAGTACTAGTCACTGTATTCGTGTATAAGTAGTAAGGAATTAGTTGTGTATGGATTCAAACAGACGGTAGTAATTTAAAACAGTATTACTCAGCATGCAAATATTATACACGATATGAAAAAGCATTTTACATAAAGATATTTGATTCAGTCTCATAAAATGTTTCACAATTTAAAGATTCATATTTATATTATTGAAATGGATAAGGTATATACTTTTGGAATAAATATGCAAACCGTGGCCAGTAGTGTACAGAACTGTATTACAATCTTAAAAACACGTGGTATTTAAAATTATATTACTGTACAGGTTTAACACGTAGGTTTCGGGACCAGATGTTTTTGGGTTAGATCGCGTAAATATAAATGTGTCGTTAAACCCACCACCACCCGCCACAACCAATTAGTAAGGTTTGTCACGTAAATAGAACATGCATAATGTTCGCTGATTGCCATATGAATACCCCAACCAGTAATTGAGCCCATTGCAATTTATAGGCATTAATTTATTCCACACATGGAATTCGCATTTGATTAGTTCACAAGTGACGACATCACATTTATCACTCTATTTAAGAACAAAACAGGATGTCTCCGCAAATCTGGCTGTCGCCTGATAATACTTGTTGTAATTATTGGTGAAACGTCGTACTCCAATCGTAAATGTTGTTGGTTTACTCTCCGACACACAAGTGTGCTGTACTCGTATAATGACAAGAGCCTGCGTGCGGTGTGAGGGGACTAGTGGCCACGGGAAGTAATGATAGGGAAGTCAGCCTACGCCCTACAGTGCGAATGCACTAGTGGCCACGGGAGGTAATGATATGGGTATCAGTTGTGAGTGCGAAGGGACTAGTGGCTACAGGAATGTTCGAGAAGGGAGCGTGGTAAGGTGACGGAAGAGGACGGTGGAGTCTGCCGGTAGAGCGAGCGTCCAGGGTCAGCGAGAATGATCGATAAGGGCCTCGATTGATATACAAGGGAGATGCATGGGAGACTCTGGGCTGTTGCAGTGGGAACGTGTCTTCAATAAAGTGCTATCTCAAGAGAAGTGTGTCAAGTCGTCATTGCACTAGTAGCGAATTGGCATGTTCTGTTTACGTGACAAACCTTACTAACTGGCTATGTCGGGTGGTGGCGGGTTTAACGACACACATTTACGCGATGTAACCGTACAGGTGTTAATTCTCATTCGTATTTTAACATTATTTCGGTCCTGTAATTGTTTAATTGCTGTTGTTAAAGGAGCCGTGGGTCTACGTGTCGCAAGAGCCGGGATGTTTCCGTCCATCTGTACAGAAAGCACTTGACATGTTCTCACACAAAATGATAAAAAAGCTCGAGGCAAATCAACACAAAACTTGTCGAACCCAAGATCTGTAAAAGTTTGTGGGCAACTTGGCCGAGATATCTAAAGAAACAGGTGGGTGGGTGTGGGAGGAGCCGGCAGCTCCGTGGGATCGTCGCCGAGTGGCGAGAAACGGCGAGGGAAGGCGCCACTCAGTGGCGAGAGGGCACAAGCGGGCTCCTTGCCACCTTTTTGCAACCACTGGCCAGAGGAGAGCTAAATAAAAGTCTATTAAAGCCGTGCAGTAGTGTCCTCTCTCAAAGTTCTGCGCAAATCTATTTCTGCCACCCAAACAGATTCCAATGTCCAAAGTCTTCGGGTACAACCCGGACAGACAACCCGCTGCGCGGGTGTGAGATGCCCTCTAACCTCACTGACGAATCTGAGTTGATTCGTTATGTGTTATGAAGGGCAAGGTTACATGCCGATAGGTCCACTTCATAACACATAACGAATCAACTCAGATTCGTCAGTGAGGTTTTGGCGACGTTTTGAGCAATGGTCCTTCTTCATTACACATAACGTGCTCGCCATAAATGAACCACAATACCTTGCTGATATTGTCAAGGGGCATAAACCATCACGCAAAGTGAAAAGTTTTTCTCATTTGTGAATGCTGAATTTTATTTGTTGTTAGCCTTGTAAAAATGAATTTATTTTTCTTTACCTTTGTTTTCCTCACGGTACCTGTAGCCCAGGGCCCTACACAATCTGAATCTGGCCCTGGGTGGAATCCACATTTTCTGTAGACTTCTCTTGGCGAGCCAAGGAACCACAACCTCATTGACGCCCAGGGAAAGGAGTTTAACCTCCGTCTGATGCACCAACCCTCGCCTCTAGTGATATATTACAGGCCACGTGTCGCCACCACCGCCCGGCCTGAAGCAGTGTCATTGGAAAATTACGTTTTATGCAAAGACTGCCTTGTTATAATATTCTTGGTTCTTTCGGTAACGTCACGTAGAAGGGAAACAATAAAATAAAAAATAATATAATTTTTATTTTATTGTTTCCCTTCTACGTGACTTTACCGAAAGAACCAAGAATATGAATCCCTGCAGACACGAAAGCTTTAAATCAAAACTGCCTTGTTATTCAATACCATGTGGCAGACAATAACTAAGCAAATACGATTCCACGTAGCTTTACCTTCCCATTAGCCACATTACTTTCTGGGAGTGCATCATTTAATTGGAATTAGTTCAGCTCAAACAAAACCCTGGACCGATGTCACCATGGTCTCATCGGCAGTCAGGCTTGTTTGACGTAATGCTGAGCTGCCAGACGTATATAGACTACGACCATTCTTCTCTTCAGATACCAGTCCGTTACACTGATTGTGCTATCATTTTTTTGCATTTTAAAAAAACAATAAACCGCTTCCCAGTTTGCCGCGCGCGCATGACTGATAAACGATTGAAGTTGTTTTATAGACTGGACCTACCGCAGAGGTTGCTGGTTCGACTCTATCTCCCGGCGCGGCAACTCCATAATGCAAAGCCGCCGACCGCACTCCAACATATAAGCCAGAGTTGCGCCACTTACAGCATTGGGGCGTCTCCATATTTATACTGCCGGGGCTGGGCTGTACCATGTCATGTGGAAGCTAGGGGGGAGTTTGCGTCTACAAGGTTAGTTCTCCGTTAGGCGGAGGGAATGGGCATCATGACCTCCCTCCTTTTCACCCCCCCCCCTCTTGCACAATGCGCTCGCCCTCAGCTTGCTCGTGGTGGAGGCGGCGAACGAAGCTTCTCAGCCGGGTTTGGTGCGAGTCGCCATGCAGAGAGAGCGCCGCGATAATCGTGAGCGCAGCCACCACAACAACAACAACCACAACAACAACAACCACCACAGCCGCTAGAAGGCTGCTCCTCCACACTTCGCACAGCCTCGGCAGTGCTGAGCCTCAACTCGGCCCTGAGGCGGAGGGATATAGCGACCTCCATCGCCCACTTAACGCCCCACTCACAAGCCCCACTAACCCGCCTCACTTTCACGCACAACGTACACACACACACGCACGGCGCCGCACACTTCAAGGTGCACACACACTCAGTTGAACGGGGGAGGGAGGGGTGGAAGACTCCAAAGTGAGACCGGGCGAGTGTCGTGGGCGAGCGGTGACCCGCGGCCCCTGACGCACTGCGGGGCTACGTACGGCGCAAAAGAAGTTCAAAGTACGTACATACATCGACTTGGAGATCCACAGACTCGCACAGAAACCCATTTCTTCAGAATTGCTTGTGGTGTTAAGTTTGTTCTTCCCGCACACGTCCGATCAGGAGGAGAGTGGAATCGCCGTGGCGAAGGCAATCTCTCTCCCCCCACAGCGCATCAGCAGCAGCATCAGCAGCAAGCGACTTGCCTTGGGAGGTGTACTAATGTTGCTGTCTCAGCAGGGATCGCCAGTAATTATACAACTTGCATCATCAGCCAGATTTGGCTGTCCGCCTGATGATGCTCGTTGTCATTACTGACGAAACGTCGTCCTCAGGTTGTAAATGTTGTGGGTTTTCTCTCCAACACGCCGGTGTGCTGTACTAGTAACTTAGTGGCATGTTCTGTTGTTTACGTGACAAACCTTACTAATTTGCTGTGTTGGGTGGTGGTGGGTTCCACGACACATGGACGCGATCTAACCGAGAAATATATATTCTGTTAAACCGGACTGATTTATAGTTGAAAAAACATTGTTTACATTTGATTTGTTTTCCTTCTCTTGCATCTTTTTCTCTCTCCACGTTTTCCATGTAGGATATAAAAAAGACAATGCGCCTTCGCCACGTTGAATAACAGGGATGGTGCATTCCACGTGCAGAGCGCTCCAGAGCGCTCCTATTGTTATTGTTAGCACAGAGCGCAACGTAACAGGAGAGCGTGAAATCTATTGTTAAGTCTTTCATTTAAAAAGGGGGGCGAGGGTTACATAAAGCAAAGCATTAAAAAACCGAAATGATGAACGAAGCAAAGTGCCGACTACACCGAGCATCTTCTTGTTTCCTCTGATCGTTTAAAAACAAGGAGCTCACGGCCAGAGAAGTTAACTCGTGTGTGTGTGTCAGGATCTGCCCAATGATGGATGCATATTACCATCCTAACGCGCCGTTCACTCTTACAGCTGAAGTTCTACCTCGTAGCGCTTCAGCAGAGTGCTCCTCCGCCCACAGAACACCGTAGGATTACATCGCACACTCCGATTAGCATGGTTGGCTACGTACGGTGTGAAAGAAATTCAACAAACAATAACACGAGTCGTGTTACACAAAACCCCATACCTGTCAACCTCTTATCAGTGCCTACCTTATTACAGACCAGTTTAGACCTTATTGGTCACCCGGTGCACTTATAAACCTCAACGTTCATCCTACAGAGCCCCATCGCAAGGCAGCAACACAAACAAATAGCAATTATGTTGGGAAACAAAAACTTTTACGTATTTATTTTGATAATTTGTGTCAATGATGCTACTTAAGCTTCTGTATGTGATCTTGTATGCTGACGCTGCTGCTGCTTGCTTGATATGTGGATGCACACACTCATGTTGTAAATGTACAACAATAAACACGGAAAATTACGAAGGCTTAAACAATACTCTTTTTTTTATTTGGCCGTACGATTTCTTTTTTTGCCCGTATTGCAACGGCTGTACGCCGTATGGACCTGAAAACTCAATTTCTCTGTACAAAAATACGGGGTAGATCGGTATGCACAACGTAGGAGTGACCGGCGTTCGTCATGTTTGCTCTGCAGACACCATTGTGCCACGAGAGCTGCGATGAACCTCTCGCGTCCGTCGTCCTTGCCTGGCCTACGCCGCATGTGCCGCTTATGGCCTCTGAGTCGTGCGCCAGGGAGAAACGCGGCGCATCGGCCTTGGTGCTGTCGGACGTCTTTGCGTACAAGGAGTCACGTGACAAGCAGTTCGCAAGGTGACAACCGTTAGATGTGCTGATGGAGGTGGAATCGAGTCACGGTATTGGTGAGAAAACATAGAGGTCATAGCTACCTGCTGCATTGGAAAAGGCACCCTCCCCTGTATCAATGTCCATTGCTTTTGCTGTGCCTCCAGTTAAAATGTGAATTTGCATACATGTCAACCCCTTATCAGTGTCTACCTTATTACAGACCAATTCAGATCTTCTTGGTCACCCCGCGCCCTTATAAATCTCAACATTCATCCTACAAAGTCCCATCACAAGGGAGAAACACAAACAAATAGACAAAAAAATGTTTGCTCGTATTGAAACGGCTGTATGCCGTATGAACATGAAAACTCGATTTCCATGTGCAAAAATATGGCCAAACTGTATGGGTTGACACGTATGCATTTGGCGCTGCATTACATCACCATTAATATTATGTATGGTGAAAAAGCTAGATATTTTCCTTGAAGCGTGTTGTCATGGTCAGGAGTATTTATGAATGTTGGTGTTATGTCACCGATAAGAACGAGTTGAAGTATGCTTTGTCAGGGAATGAAACCATACACTTTGGCTATGTGGCATATATGCTTTAACAAAATAGGTAAGCAGACAATGCCTCTTTCATATATTTATTCATATATATCTCTCTCCACATGAAAAGTCAAAATATTCTTTACAGAATCTGACGGTCCCACGGACTTTTTGGGAGCGAATAATTTCAGCAGCATTTATAACAAACTGTGAACTGGCTTCAAATGTACAGTGTCTCATCAGCAGAGTGAGGGTTGCTTTAATACAGGTGATCTGTCAGATGTTAAAGACTAGGACCCTCTCTTTAATGTATGGGAGCTAATTCAATGAACATTAACGTGTGTGTGTGTTTAGGTCATTGTTGATTTTTTACAAACATTGTGTGGCAGTTTATATTTTTGTTCATGTGGTAGGTGGGAAATGCATTGAACACAGCAAGTAGATCATTTGTTCATATGGCTCGTGGCACATTTTGTTAGGAGTATGTGCTTGGTATTGTCACAGGAGGTGGCATGGTACGAGCAGACCTGAGCAAGATGACGCATCCAGTGGTGAAACGAGGCCCTTTCTCGCTATTGGAGCCTCGGGACATAGAGGTTTTCCAAGCTCTGCTGCCAGAACGCGTCATCACGGATCCAGACGTGCTGAGAGCTTCTTGTACTGACTGGCTGGGGAATTGTCCTGGTACTTTCTGCACCACATGTTAAAGCTATGGGGGGCGGGGGGGGTGTCAGTTAAATTGGTAACAGCAAGAGCTAAAAAGAAAACTTTAATTAAATTACAATAGTTTTTAATTGTTTCCTTTAAATTACTCTTCCCTGCTTGCACGGTTCAGAAACTTAACCGTAATAATATGGATAATATTGGTCACAAAAGCCTACGTGTTAAATTAAGAAACTTAAACATTTGAAGTCTCTTTGATCCTAATAGTTGCCAGTACCAAAATGCATTTATCATTTTGACACTGGCAAAAAGGTCCCATAGATATAACTGCTCAAACCGAGCGAATACTACTTGCATTGCTTTTGTACTGTTCACCTTTTGGCCGTTCTCTGGTCTAACACTGGTGAGACATGGCCATAAATAGTGCTGTCTGGTGTAGGCTAATCAGCCTCAAAGACAATGCATATATTATCGGAGAATGTTTATTTGGATGTGTAGAGGAGACGTCACGTCACGCTCGCCCTCGGAGAGAGTGGCGTCGCAGAACGTGATGTCAGGCGGACCTTTGGGGACGGTGGTGTCATGTCTCCCGGGGGGTATTTAAAGGGAGACCCGGGACGTAACTGGGGTCGTCGAGGGGTACGAGTTGGGACCCGGGGTAGGTGATCCTCACACGGGGCTAAGGGAGGCCACTCCACCCAACCGGCCGAAGTTGGTTAAGCCCCAGGCCGGTGCAGGGAGGAGGAGCCGAGTTAGCCGGGGTTGTAGGATTCCCAGTACCCTGTCCCCTGGGGAGTTATAGGCTAGGGGGTTCTTGTTAGGCATAAGCCTGTAACCCCTGTTAGGCATAAGCCCTTAATAAACCCGGCATGAGCCCCGACCAAGACCTGCCTCTGCGTCGTGAGTTGCACCACAACACATGTTTTGCCACAAGTATGTGTGGTTAATATCTTGATGCCTTGTAATAAGTATTTATTTGGTGTTTGAACATCTTAACACCTGTTTTATTGCCAGATATGTAAAGCCTAGTCTTATGTTTTCATTAAATAGAGGCTTGCTGCCTCGTTCTTTCTTGCGTGTGTTTAAAGTAATCTGTTGTAAACAGAATAATAATTATCTCATGTAAATACCCTGGCAATTACCTTCTGACGACTATGTCTACTCATGTGTCAGAGTGCTCGCAAGTATGTTGACTGTATTTTGTTGGCAGGAAATAGTGTCCTTATGCTGAGACCACGCACCACCAAAGAAGTGTCCGAGATACTCAGGTGATTCTCCGACACACACACACACACGTCTTGTATGGTGGGTTGACTGTTGGTTATTTTAATATTATTTATACTTACAATAATAATGATTTCCAGCCATATTCCGAAACAAACACCATGTCAGTCATGGGGGTTTTTGGACTGTACCTTCACACTGGTCAGAGCTTGTTTGTGAACTGGGGACGCAGGAGCGGTTCAGATATAACTCAGCATTGATATAGGGAGCCTGGTGGATATTACATCGTGGAATCATGGGTGGCTTTGGGAGGTCCTCATCCAGCAGTGGTATAATCATGATTGATTCTGGTTCATGTAATTTCTGGCAAACGTTTATTTAATCATTATTTTCCTATTATTATACCAATAATTTACAGCATTTGCTTTGGCAACAAAACTGACACCTTTTTTACAATGCACCATCAGAGTATGAGAGCTCGGGGTAAGAATTTACACCATTGGAACCTCCTTTGCCAGTAGCAAAATATGATGATTGTTTTTTTACCTTTTTTTCTGGCAACAAAACTGACACCTTTTTTACAAGGAGTCATGTTTGCATTGACTCGGTTGTGTAAACGATTTTAGTTTGAGCCTTTATATTTACGAATGTTTGTTAACATGTATATGGTTTTCCTTTATGCAACAACCCCGTCTCCTTAGTACTGCATTCAAGGAATATTCTGCATCGCCCAGGACATTTTTAAATGAAATTTATCCAGTGAATGATTCCAATTCATTTTCAATGTGAAAATTGCCTGTGGGCCAACAAGAGTGGGATTGGCAATAGAGTAGTGTATAGCATAGTACTCGCTAAATGTTTTGTTTTCTGCAGCTGTTATGGCACCAAAGCACAGCCAACTGTTGATTAATTATATTATCAGTGGGTGGGTTATCCGGGTTTAGGATTAACCATTTGTATAAGAAGTAAAAATAATTAAATATGATACAAGGGTCACCAAAATATTTTAAACCTCTCTGCATGGTTTAGTTTTTTTTTGCTTTCCCACAAAGGTACTGCAATGAGCGTCAGCTGGCGCTGACACCCCAGGGAGGAAACACGGGGCTCGTAGGAGGCAGCGTGCCACTGTTCGATGAGATTATTGTCTCCACTTCCTTGATGGATGAAGTCGTCAGCTTCAATCCACTCTCAGGTACTCTATTGGCAGCTTCTCTGCGTGTGGTGCATATCTTCTTCACTTCATTTGTACCATGTGTTGTACGTTTAGGAGTAATAATAATTGGAACAATGTTTTATTTTCATATCGCGTCATTCGTTCAAATGGAATCTCAAAATTCAAGGTATTTTCCAGGTCACGCTTCTTAGTTTAATTTATTTTCCTTTTAAACTTATTGAAGAATATATTGAGTACATTTATTATATTGATGTAATTTAGACTTAGTTTTTTCACATCGGTTTACTGTATGATAGTTGGGTAGTACAGCCCCTTTGGCGTCCATGTACTAGGTGCCTCTGTTGATGTGTAGGCTTTGACTTTAACATAGCTATTTCTGTGACCAGTCACAAGCTAATCCCTCAGCCCTTTCAATGCTAAATTCTCCTGTTTGATATGTAAACTCCTTTGTCAAGGTGCCTCACTTCTCTCACCCAGCTTAAAAGACGCTACGAATCTTAGCAGTGTTCATTGAAGCTCTGTCGTCCCGACAGTTCTGTTCCTTCACCGAAACGTCGTGATTTTTGTTGTTTTATTTTTTACCTATGTGACTTTACCTAATAGAACCAAAGAGTATGGATCCTTGCAGTCACGAAAGCTTCAAATCTAGAATATAATAGGCAAGTTAATATATCTTAATATATAAATAATATACACTTACTTTTGACGATGGTTGTACAGTATAGATGCGCAATGGGTTACTGAGCATCCTCTGTAAAGGTACTGTACCACGTTACGATCTGCCATCCCATCTCTAGTTGTACTACCTACTACTATTGGTAGGTTCTGTACCACGTTACGATCCACTACCCCATTTCTTTGCTTCGATTTAAGTACTTTTGATTTACGTTCTAGTTTTCCGGAACACATCCTGCGTGTAAAATGGGGTAAACCTGTACTTGTAGTCGCAGTGTAGAGGCATAGATGTAGAGAGCAAGAGGAGAGGACCCTGAGCAACCTGTGACTATGAACTGAGTAGAACGAGATTCTCAGCTGTTGACTTTTACATCAAAAGTATCAAATTGAGAGAAGGGTGTGATGCAATAAAATTGTAACTTCACTTTTGCACGTGCATAATGAATGGCACGCACAGTTGTCGCACTCATTCGGTTCGTGGGAACTGAAGAAACGATCGTAACATACTGGAAATGAAGGACACAGAGATGAGGATAGGAGACAGTTGAAATGACAGAAAGGCAAGGATAAGCTAATTTAGAATCCTAAGTAAGTCTTAGTGATGTTTGAATTTTATTAGATGAGAGGCACTGAAAAGTGGGATAATTCAGTGTCATGTTTATGAGATTTATCTCGGCAACGTTCTGGAGCATCTAAAGTTTGGATGTTAAGCATGTAAATCATTGTAGGCCCCCCCTTCCTTAAGTACATTAACAAGTGTGTGTGCGGGAATTCTCTTGCCAGGTGTGCTGGTTTGCCAGGCTGGCTGTGTCTTGGAACGCTTGCATAACTATCTGTCAGAGCACGGGCACATAATGCCATTGGACCTTGGTGCCAAGGGAAGCTGTCAGATCGGAGGCAATGTGTCAACTAATGCTGGAGGAGTGCGGCTTATCCGTTACGGGTCTCTTCGTCACACAGTACTGGGGGTCGAGGCTGTGAGTACCGGCACCACTGACAATGGTCACATGGCCCATGAAGCGGGTTCTCGCTGCTTGTTGCAAAGGTTCACGGTTTGAATTCGGCAGGCCACCCTGGTTATTACTGATGGTATGGTGCTGTGTAGGTGCTGGCTGATGATATGGTGCTGTGTAGTTACTAGCGAATGGTATGGTGTTGTATAGTTACTGGCTGATGGTATGGTGCTGTGTAGTTACTGACTGATGGTATGGTGCTGTGTAGGTGCTGGCTGATGGTATGGTGCTGAGTAGTAACTGGCTGATGGTATGGTGCTGTGTAGTTACTAGCGAATGGTATGGTGCTGTGTAGGTGCTGGCGGATGGTATGGTGCTGTGTAGTAACTGGCTGATGGTACGGTGCTGTGTAGGTGTACTGGCTGATGGTATGGTGCTGTGTAGTAACTGGCTGATGGTACAGTGCTGTGTAGGTGCTGGCTGATGGTATGGTGCTGTGTAGGTGCTGGTTGATTGTACGGTGCTGTGTAGGTGCTGGCTGATGGTATGGTGATGTGTAGGTACTGGCTGATGGTACAGTGCTGTGTAGGTGCTGGCTGATGGTATGGTGATGTGTAGGTGCTGGTTGATTGTACGGTGCTGTGTAGGTGCTGGCTGATGGTATGGTGCTGTGTAGGTACTGGCTGATGGTACGGTGCTGTGTAGGTACTGGCTGATGGTATGGTACTGTGTAGGTACTGGCTGATGGTACGGTGCTGTGTAGGTGCTGGCTGATGGTATGGTGCTGTGTAGTAACTGGCTGATGGTATGGTACTCTGTAGGTGCTGGCTGATGGTAGGGTGCTGTGTAGTTACTGGCTAATAGTATGGTGCTGTGTAGGTGCTGGCTGATTGTACGATGCTGTGTAGGTGCTGGCTGATGGTACGGTACTGGATCTACTGACCACGTTGCGGAAGGACAACACAGGCTATGACCTGAAGCAGCTGTTCCTGGGAGGAGAAGGCACGCTGGGCCTGGTGACTGCGGTGGCACTTGCCTGCCCCAGAATGCCCAGCTCACAAAACGTTGCTTTCCTAGGTACAGTAACTCCCAACAAGGAGATCACTTGAAAATGGACAATATGGAATTTCCTATGAATGTATATTTCATAATAGTGACAGAGACTGTGAGGTTCAAATAGACTGAGGTCAAGAGGCTATCATGAACAATTAGGTTGATATCTCCACACAATATTACTTGTCCACACTCTGCACACTTTGTCTACAAACATCTGGCAGTTCACCTGCATTGATTAATTCATGCAAAGCTGATTGCTGATGAGATACTGGATGTTAAAAACCAGATCCAGAGTTTTGCTTGTGTTAAACCAGTGCCACTAAGATTAAGCACTTTCAGAAGGCCTTGTGCATTTTAAGAAATCTCCTCAGCCCACACTTAGCATGTGCATACGTGATGCCGTTTGTGAATGGTTGAATGATGGTGATGAACGTGTTTACTTTACTTTGTTTCATGCTGCTAAAAATGTATAGAAGAGGATGTTGACTGGAAAATGGGGTGCGTATTCCATAAGCACCTGTAATTTTGTGTGAACAATAGTGTTCTTGGCAGTAGATGCTTGAGGAAAATCAAGACATTATAAAAGTGATATTGGAACACTTTTTCCATAAAGATTAAAATACCATCTCAACCCACAGGAAATCTGATGCAGCTGATCTACGTCTCTCATTTGAAATGTAACAATTACGATGATGCTGGTATTGGTGCTGGTGTTTGTGTACTCGGGGGGCGGGGGGGGGGGGGTGGTGCAGTGGTTGGCTCACTGCACTACGATCCCGGCGACCCGAGTTCGAATTCAGCTCACGACCAATCAGTGGCCAATATTTGAATCGGTCCTGGGCCTCGCTTCCCTCAATCAACTGGGCCTTATATGGGTACGTGCTGCAGCGTATAAACATAAGCACTGGGGAGATAAAGGCGACCGGGCGTGGTGTTAAACACCCACCCCCTCGTGCCACACCGGCCTTCATTGGTGGCCGCTAACGGCACTTGCCCCGACAGTTTGTTAAAGATTATCCGGGAGAATCTTTGTCTCTGGGGGCAGGTTAAGGAGAATGTCCTTGGTGTGTTCCAGGCTGTCAAAGTTTTGATGCTGTGCTGAAGACGTTTGAGCTTGCAAGGCACAGACTGGGAGAAACGCTGTCGGCCTTTGAATTTCTGGATGAAGTTTGCATGTGGCTGGTGAACACTCACCTGGCGTTGGCCAACCCCGTCACTGGTAAAAAAAAAAAACGCAGCAGCCGCGCGAGTGGCCATGTTGGTGATGACAGCGGCTCACGTGCAGACACGAGATGGGCTATAGAATCGAGGAGTGGTGTCGGTGTGTGGGTAGGCCTTCATCCAGCAGTGGATTTATCATGGTGATAAATAACTTCATACCTCAGTGGGCTTTACCTGGTGAGATAAAAAAAATATTTAGTTTTATTTGTATACTTTTAAGTGGTTTATTTACCTTTCCTATAATTTGCACTCCTATCGTGTTTTACATTGTTTGTTGTAACATTCTTACACGCCCTTACCTGACGTCTTTTAAAAAAAAGCTTTATAACTAATCAGATTCCTCCAATAAATATTCTGATAACTTGCTCAACTATCTTTAATATTTTAAATGCAATTAAGGAGGAGATCTGGCCAGATTTTCATTATACACGTGACATTGCATGGATTTTACAGCTACTTAGCACAGGGATGCTGCAGCCCATTTATTTGAGGGCCAGTGTTTCTACCCTGCGACGTATCTGCATTATTTGGCTATACACCATTTCAGTGAGAGTTTTGCTGTATTTTGATTGCACCTCACCCAGTGGTCACCATGTGCCTGTATATGACAGTACGCCATGCCAGCAATTTTTACAACACCACACGTGTATCAGCACTTTTGAGAACAGGTTCCATTCCTCATCTGTGGTGTTTCCGGAGGTGAAATGGCAGTGTGAGTGTTGGTGTGAGCGTGAGTTTGGGTATGAGTGGAGAGTGGTAGTGTGGCGGTTAAGCATGCTGCTCTATGAATCCGGCGGCCCGAGTTCGATTCCCACTCATGGCCAACACCAGTGACGATTATCTGAACCGGTTCTGGGTATCCCCGAGGTCGACTCAGCCTCAAATGAATACCTGATGCAGTGTGTAAAATTGCCACTGGTGGCTAGGTGTGCTGTGCCGGCCTTCATAGGTGCTCACTTACAGCACTTGCCCCAACAGTCTATTCATGGCTAAACAGGAGATATTTATCTTTGAGCGTTAGTGAACATGGGCTGCTGCAGGACAAATAGGCTTCATACCTGCACGGCTGCATTTCCATATCGAGTACTGCACACAAACATGCACATTGAGTACCATATAAGACACATCCAGAAATATACAACTTATGTCAGTTGATTGCGAATGAATCGCTGATGGCAATTCTCTTCTTGCAACTGACGGACGACGTATTTCCCGTTGAGTTGGTGTTATATTTGTCGCTGCCGAAGATGATCGCCGGTGAACTGTGCGCAGAGCACCCTTTCTACGTCCTGGTGGAGACCGCCGGCTCGTGCGGCCGGCACGACGACGAGAAGATGCAGGACTTCCTGCAAGAGGCGATGGAGACAGCCCACGTGTCGGCAGGGACGCTGGCAACAGACCCCTCCAAAGTGCAGGTAGGCTTCGTGTTTCATTGTTTTTTTACAACGCAGTTGCTGAGCACAGGGCCAAAAGCCAGAACCTATCAAATGGCCAGCGGTAAATGGCACGAGCAAAGTTAAAGCTCATGAAAACTGCGCACATAAATTTTTATTTACGTGCTTATTTAACAGACAAGAGTGCAAGTCTGAGACTTCTCGATATGCAAACATAATTATAAATTAGCAGTGGTGTATAAGCACAATGAACAAAAACCCATTACATTGGTCAATCAAATACACCCTGCCATCACTAACTAATGCCATTGTCTTCCACCCCACGGCTGGTTGAACTTTACCCGTGGCTCTGCAGGGTGTCCAAATGGCACACCTCTCGGTCCTGCCAGGAGTGTTCACTGTAGCTGCAGTGCTGCTATCACTCAGATGGGAATTAGATGACTCGCTTTTGGTAAAGAGTGGCTCTTAGCTGCATGATCTCATCAAAACCCTCCTAACTACCAAGATGTCTCAGCCTTAATGTATGGATGCAGTTTTTTTTTGCTCAGATATTTCCTGGGACATTGCAGCCGTTGGTAGTTTTAGATATGCAAGCTGAAAACGGGGACCTCAAGGTGAGCTTTATGAAAACGTATCGTATAGTTTTGCGTAGAACTAGGACCCAAATCCAACAGAGGGTCCTTGTGTAGAGACATCTGGCAGTTGACCAGCATTGGTTTAAGCAAGGCTTGACTGCTGACGAGACACTTGATGTTGAAACCAGTCCATAGTTTTCTTGTATTCAACCATCGCTGCTGAAAAGAATCACTCTCAGAAGGTCTTGTGGCCCATGGGTTTCTGTGGAGACAGACACGAGGAGGGGTATTGTCTGCTTCTTTTAGTTTGTAAAATTGGTGTTGATGGCGAGTGCGGTGACACGAGCATGTGCATGTCACTATCGACGTGTGTATATTTGTATTTCAGGCACTGTGGAGTGTACGTGAACGCATCACAGAGGCACTTTCGCGTGATGGTTTTACCTATAAATATGATGTGTCGCTGCCAACGGAGGACATTTACAACTTGGTTGTGGAGACGCGACGGGTGTTTCAGGGTGAATCCAAGCACATTGTGGGCTACGGACATCTGGGTGAGTTTGTTTCCTGATTGGGGATCAACACAGACCATTACTCGGTGTTCATTAAACCAAGGGCAGTAAAATCACATGCTGATATGAATCAGATTAAACTACTTAAAAAATAATTCAAGATATTTATAAAATATCAGTTTATTGTGTTTATATAGTTTTCAATTGAAATTGTGAGCAGCTGGATTTTTCAGCGAGTCTGACCAGGACTTCCACCGATTCGTCCAGCTAGCCGGGGTGGCGGTAAATTTGGCACTGTTCACAGGGAACCCCATACTGTCCCCCTACACTCTGCCACAGAAATACAGCTGCTTGATTTCGGAAAGGAGTCATCTGTGGAGGCGTAAGGTCATTTCATCACTCGTTTCCCCCCCCCAATCACAGACAGATGTCTGTCACGCAGTCTACAGACTGGTGCGTCTGTTGAATTGTGTCTGTGTGAGCCGCACCAGCCTCAACACGCGAATGCCAATAGTTTGCACCAAAAGCCTATGTATGTATGTATAACTTATTTGCGCTGTATGTAGCTAATCGGAGGTGCAAGGAAGGCCAACTAAACACAAAATGCAGTTCTATAGAAACGAGTTTTAAATTTAGATGGAAAAGTACATAGCTCCAGTGGCTTTCTAATTTCGGAAGGGCGTTCCAGGTGGCTACAGAAGCGCATCTGAAAGTGCACGGTGCAGTGACCGTGTTTGTTCGATGGCTAGCCAAAAGTTGCTGAAGATGACCAGAGTTTGCTTGATGGTTTATGCTCCTCGACAACATCAGCAAGGTATTGTGGCTCATTTGTGGCAAGCACTTTGTGTGTAATGAGCACAACCTTATAATGTATTCGGTCAGCAATCGAAAACCAACGCAGCTCGGCGAGCACCCGACGGACATGGCCGGATTTTGCAGTACCCGTCACGACACGTGCCAGATAATTTTTATACACGCTGTGGCTTACTCTTTGGTTCTTTCAGTAAAGTCACGTAGAAAGAAAAAATAAATAATAGCATACGACGTTTCGATTGCAACACAAGCAATCATCATCAGGTACAAATGAAAGAGAAAACAAACCTAGTAAACTTAGAAATGTAATGCAATACAACACAGAGAGTCGGCTAACATAACAGTCAACACCCTACCTGGTTGATTACGTTCTTCCAAAGAGTGCTAAATTTGAGAGAGAGAGAGACAAAACACAGACACGGAGACACATAGACAGACGCATAAGCAGAGAGAGATAACACAGAGAGTCACTCACATAGGCACACAGAGAAAGAACCAAAGAGTAATTCCTGCAGTCACGAAAGCTCCAAAATCAAGTTTGAACCACCTCTACGGGGAGGATTTAAGTTACGTAGGTGAAAATAAAATAACAAAAAATCACGACGTTTCGGCCACAATACAAGCGGCCTTCATCAGGTGAAGGGACGAGACTGTCTGGAGGACAGCGCTGGAGTGGAAGAAGCCACGCTTAGATCACGACCTTTAAGCTGTGTGAGAAGAAAAAGACCAAGCGCCTTGACAAAGGAATTAGCATATAATTTAGCATTGAAATGGCTCATTGAAATAGCTAAGTTAAAGTATACACATCCGCAGAGGTACCCCTTGACAAAGGAATTAGCGCTGAAGTGGAAGAAGCCACGCTTAGATCACGACCTTTAAGCTGTGTGAGAAGAAAAAGACCAAGCGCCTTGACAAAGGAATTAGCATATAATTTAGCATTGAAATGGCTCATTGAATTAGCTAAGTTAAAGTATACACATCCGCAGAGGTACCCCTTGACAAAGGAATTAGCATCGAATTTAGCATTGAAATAGCTGAGTGATTAGCTTGTAACTGGTCAAAGAAATAACTGTGTTAAAGTTAGAGCATATACATTCACCGAGGCACCTAGTACTCATCAAACAGGATAATTTAGCGAAACACAACCACGCTCAGACATCGGACCTGTGTGCGAGCAAACAAGGTGTTCTGACAAAGAAATTAGCATAAAAATGAGCATTTGATTGGCAGATTTTAGGAAAGAGGTGGTGTACGTGCCCGTGGACTTGCAGTTTGGCGCGGGGGGGGGGGGGGGGGGAAAAGGGGGGGAGGGGGAGTTTACCTATTGATGGTGTGAAAAGGGGGAATTTATAAGAGCTGCGAAAGTTTGGGGTACCATTACTTGAAAAATATACTGTACCATTGAAATTAGTTTAATGTTTAGTTCGATTTAGAACATCTTTCCAATGGTTGCTTCATTTGAAACCATCCTCTCAGTTGAAATTGTGTCTGTGTTTGTAGATCTGAATTGCTTCATGAACAAATCTCTGATAAAAGCCCGTGGGTTTGCAAAGAACCTTGGTATCGGAGAAAATTATATCGTGATCCCCCACAGCGTTGTAACAGTGATCAGCCATGGCAGAAGAATTCGTTTTGCCGTGTTTCAAATCTGATTTGTGCTCGCGAATTCGGTCAGAGACATGTCGCTTTGTCTCACCGATGTAGCAGTCACCGCAGGTACAACTCAATTTGTAAACCTCGGGGTACTGTAAATCAGGAATGACATCCTTCACGGATGGGATCAGATCACGAATTTTGTGTACTGTATTGAACCGGACCTGGATCTTGTGTTTGTTTAGAATTTTGGAAATCTTTTTAGTAACGCCTGCTATATATGGAAGTGTGATGGTTTTGACCGGAGTATCAAGTGGTTGTTTCTGTATGGAGGGAGAGACAGCTTGGCGGATGGTACGGTCAGAGTAACCATTCCTTTTGAGGGCCAGGTGTACATGTTTTAATTCACTGGTCAGGTGGTGTTGGTCCGAAATGCAATGCGCCCTATGGTATAAAGTTTTGATGAGAGAATTATTTTAGGCTGGGTGGTGGTGGGAATCAGGTTTCAAGTAGGAATCTGTGTGGGTGGGTTTCCTGTAGACAGAATGCCCCAATGAGCCATCAGGTCTCCTCTCAAACAGAACATCTAAGAATGGTAGCTTGCCATCTTTCTCCACTTCCATGGTGAATTTGATGGCGGGATGTCTGGAATTGATGTGGTGTAGGAAAAGGTTCAGAGCTGGGAGGCCATGTGGCCAAATGACGAAAGTGTCATCCACATATCTCTTCCACAGGGAAGGTCTGAGGGTGGAAGTCTGGATGGCGTCTGATTCAAATTTCTCCATGAAAATATTGGCTATCACTGGTGATAAGGGGGATCCCATGGGGGTACCCTCATTTTGTTTGTAGAAGGAGCCATTCCAAGTAAAGTAGGTATTGTTGAGGCAGTGCCTAACCAGTGCAGGTGTGTCGGGGTCTAGTCCATGTTGGACCAAATTTTCAATTATTTCAATGGTTTCAGGTACTGGGACCTTGGTGAACAAAGAGACCACATCGAAGCTGACAAGGATATCGTCAGGGGACAGTACAACGTCTTTGACCATAGAGACCAATTGGGCTGAGTTAAGTACTGCTGAGGCGGTCTTGCCAGTGAAAGGCAGCGAGGTATCTGACAGAAAACGGGCTAGTCTATAGGTAGGGGAGTTGATCGTGGATACGATGGGTCGAAGTGGGGTGCCTTCTTTATGAATCTTGGGAAGACCATAGAATCTAGGGGGTCTTGCAGCAGAAGGTTTTAGGGAGGGACGTTTAGTTGGGTCGATTAGGGAGGTCGAACTTGTGATGATCTTGTTGGTTTTTATCGCTAGGCTATTAGTAGGGTCATTTTTTTATTTTTGAGTAACTTCCATCGTTGATCAGATTCTGGATTCTGTTGTTGTATGAATCTTTATCCATAATAACAGTAGCGTTGCCTTTATCGGCTGAGAGGATGACTATATCACTTGTTTTTTTAAATTCGCAAGTTCAGAGCGTTCATATTTGCTGATGTTACTAATGGGTTTCTTAGTATTCTTAAGAATAGTGGCTATTTCAGCTCTCGCAACGTCTGCTTGGATGTGTCCTACGCCTTTGAGGGCTACATCGACCTGAGAGATGATATCATCTATTGGTATGTGTTTTGGGGTGACAGCAAAATTTAGTCCCCTAGCCAGTACTGTTTTCAGATTGTCCGAAATCGGGGTGCTACTCTGATTAATGACGATTTTGTTAACATCTAGTTTTGTTAGATGTGGAACTGGGTTCTTCTTTGATAGGTGGTTGAATTTAGAAATCAGGTTAGCTTTACATTTGACTGACAGTGACTCAGCAGAAGAAGCAGTTATGTTGTCTACGTGATTCCAATCAGAAGGTGACATTTTTTGTGTTAACATTAAATGAGCTTGTAGGAGAGTCCTGTCTAAAGTATCGAGTTCAAATCGGAGTAGCCTTATCCTCTCTGAGATTAAAGATAGGCTGGCCTTAAGCAGAATCTGTTTAGAATTCGGAGAAGATACAGCAGCAGAAGTGAGTGTGAAAGCGATGGGTATTACCTTGTGATTGCGGCATCTTTTGAGGAAGGTCAGCGTCTCGATGAGTTGCGACTTCTTGTCCCGTTGTCTGTTAAAAGCTCTAACAGATAGGTGAAAACCCTCCCCATAGAGGTTATCAATTCTAGTTTTAAAGCTTTCGTGACTGCTAGGATCCATACTCTTTGGTTCTATTGGGTAAAGTCACGTAGGTGAAAATAAAATAACAAAAAATCACGACGTTTCGGCCACAATACAAGCGCTTGGTCTTTTTCTTCTCACACAGCTTAAAGGTCGTGATCTAAGCGTGGCTTCTTCCACTCCAGCGCTAATTCCTTTGTCAAGGGGTACCTCTGCGGATGTGTATACTTTAACTTAGCTATTTCAATGAGCCATTTCAATGCTAAATTATATGCTAATTCCTTTGTCAAGGTGCTTGGTCTTTTCTTCTCACACAGCTTAAAGGTCGTGATCTAAGCGTGGCTTCTTCCACTCCAGCGCTGTCCTCCAGACAGTCTCGTCCCTTCACCTGATGAAGGCCGCTTGTGTTGTGGCCGAAACGTCGTGATTTTTTGTTATTTTATTTTCACCTACGTGACTTTACCCAATAGAACCAAAGAGTATGGATCCTAGCAGTCACAAAAGCTTTAAATCTAGAATGGAAAGGATTTAAGTTGTATTCGCTCTCTGTCTCTCTGCTTGTGTGTCTGTCTTTGTGTCTCCGTGTCTGTCTTGTCTCTCTCTCTCAAATTTCACACTTAACTTCTAATTTAGCAATCTTTGCAAGAACGTAATCAACCAGGCTATGCGTTGTGTTGACCAACTATGTGTTGCATTGCATTAAGTGTGTTTTCTCTCTCTGTGTCCTTGTGTTGTCACTCGAGTATTTCCTGCAGTCACGAAAGCTCCAAATCTCTCATTGACATGCTAATTTCTCTACTCCCCCCCCCCCTCTATTTAAGGCCGCGACACAGAGGCGTTGTTTCTGTGTGCCTAAGTGTGTGTCTCTCTCTGTCTCTGTATTATCTCTCTCTGCTTATGTGTGTCTGTCTCCATGTCTGTGTTGTCTCTCAAATTTAGCAATCTTTGGAAGAACGTAATCAACCAGGTAGGGTGTTGACTGTTATGTTAGCCGACTCTCTGTGTTGTATTGTATTATATTTCTACGTTTACTAGGTTTGTTTTCTCTTTCAGTCGTACCTGATGATGATTGCTTGTGTTGCAATCGAAACGGCATATGCTATTATTTAATTGATTTTTCTTTCTATGTGACTTTCCGAAAGAACCAAAGAGTAATTCCTGCAGTCACAAAAGCTCCAAATCAACGCTGTTGCTTGGTCATGTTTTTTTCAGCCATCCCGTCTAGTGAGTTGCAATAATCAAGCCTTGTCGATACTATGCTACACACCACCGGTGTTGGCTATGTCACAACTCAATAGTGGTATAATGTGTCAGAGCCCTGATATGAAAATTGCAGGACCTGACTATATTTTGCACGTGGTGATCAAACGACGTTCTGGTCGAGTATGGTGCCAAGGCTTTTGAGAAGATTAGAAAAAAAATAAGGCCGCCTCTGACCTTGCTGCCCGTATGTGCCTTAGGTGACGGTAACCTGCACCTGAATGTCACGGTGCCGGCTCATGATGCCGACTTCAAGAAGCGACTGGAGGAGCTGGTGTACGGTTGGACGGCGCGGTGCCGAGGCAGCGTGAGTGCGGAGCACGGGGTGGGCACATTCAAACGGCACGTCCTGGCAAGCACCAAATCGCCCGTGGCACTTGGCATCATGCGAGGCATCAAACAGCTGCTCGACCCGAAGGGAATCCTCAACCCGTACAAGATCTTGGCGGATTGATCATGCACAGCCACATGACGCTCTGTAATACAAACGAGTTGTGTGATGGACATTGAGACGTTATCAGGGTAAGGTTTCTCCAGTGAATGTCAACATGTGTTTTGTGCCTATATGGGGAAACAAAAGTTAAATTGAATGAAACGGTACATTCATTAAATTATACATGTTTAAAACAATTTATTTTGAAAATTTTAATTACATTGGTAAATACTGGTTTGAAAAATAAAGTGTGTAATCCTAACGTGTAACAAAAGTTTGTTTTATTCCCAGAAGCCCTCAAAAGCTTGTTCCTCATTCAGCAAATTTGTCAACAAATAACAAAAACTCATTATCAAAAACACTATGGCCTTAAAGTATAAGGGGGAAAACATATAATAAATAAATTAACAAATCAGGCTTTTAACCTGCACAATATTTACTCACTTTCGAAGTGAGAGCATGACTCAGAGGTACTAGGAGGAACCACAAGACGAGCAGGAATTCCCCTCTCCCAAGCTCTGCAGTCCTCTATATATCAATGTCTGAGCGGTCAATTCATGAGTGGTTACATTAAAAGGAAATCCGAGCACCCCGAGATAACCCACGTGTGTGAGGGGGCAACGCTCTATCCCATACAGGGATGGAATAGGTGGAGTCCACATGTGCTGTATTGCCTTTTGGCAAGCCATGGTATATGACTCCTCGATGCCAACGGGAAGGGAGTTTCCACAACAGTTGTGATCCGCCAACCCCTCGTCTCCACAGTGGTAGATTAGAAACCACCACCGCCCCACTAATAGGCGACGTTTCAGGCAATGACCCTTCTTTATAGAGAACAGATGTAGTGAAAAATAGTTGCAAGATGCACTATATACCATGGGGCCCTGATAAGAAATATTTAAATGTTTAATTATTAGGGCAGCACGGCATTCTATCATAGTTTAATCATGTGTAATGTCCTTAGTCGTGAATACTACAGGGATTACTCCAACACAGGTCCAATTATTCCAGAAAATTAGAGTTAGAGTTCAACACACGAGCTTGTTATAATCAGACATCCGCATTCCTGTATGTCGTTTAATAACGCGGTCTGTTCTGATGTTCATTAAACTGAAACAAACCAAATATTAGTTGTAAATGCAGATGTTTAAGATACCATGATCAAACTCGGTGTTCAAATGTCACTGCTATTATCAGCTCGCGATTATTTTGAGCATGTGACAAAACACGGAAAATGCATAACGTGTGGCGTTCACGTGATGCACCAAAATACAATGCACTCCCCACAAGCTTGAGAAGCCACCCCTCCCATAGACAGTCTCTCAGTGGTACTGCCCCACCCTTCATCAGTAACATTCAAAACACAACGATAATTACGTGAAATCATTTATTGAGTTTTTTTAAAATATCAAATAGGCAAGTAAACAATATTGATCACATTTGTGAACACAAAGAACTCTACACAGAGCAACTTTTGCCGTGTTTCCACAATCGATTGCCAATGGACCAAAGACGTGCTTCGACCTGAACTGTACCTCATCTCCCATCCACAATGACCCAGTTTAGTCCAGAATTAGTTTTGTTTAGCCAGACGATAACTCAAGAGTCAAGGACGGCCTCGCATGCAAGAGGCACCTGGGTCACCAAATAATCCGAACCCAGGAGAGCACACCACATCAGGAATCTAGGCAGCATCAGGGTGGTGGTGGTAATGGTCGGGAAGTAATGAGCGCAGGTTATCTAACTCCTGAGGTTAAATGTCCACACCGTGTGTCTGTTTGACACTGTTAATTGGTTAAATGGTTGAGTGGGTTTGAGTGAGATGAGCGATATCACGGCTGATGCTTCTTGTAGCTACGGTGACAACGAAGCAATGTCACGGGTCCTGCCGCCATTGGTCCAACGTCAGCACTGACAGTGGTGCTGTCTCTGCACGGTCCCGGCATGCTCATGGCCGCGGAGGCCTACTCTTAGTTGTATGCACGTGGCCTGATGACGGAACACCGTGATTACAATATGCTGTGGAAACTCGGCATGATAGAGCTCCATAGACATTACTCGCCCTCAAAGTAAACAGAGGCCCTCACTCAGGATTGGAGCGCAGCACAGAGACACAACAAGAAGCCCTAGCTCCGTCACTTTAATTCTCTGTTGCATGGCAAGACCTTTACTCCTTAACGGGCATGGTGATGTGTAGGATCTGCAAATAAAGCACAACACTTTGAGTGAATGATCCATAAGTATTTTGCAGTACTCGGTCTATACTTGTGGCAGCATTCTACTCTGAAGTATGATTAGTTACACATTTGGATATAACTTAAGTCATACGAGGCCAACTAAAACTCAGGAATTATATCTGTATACAGTCTAGGGTGCCACTCACTGTGCATATGGAAACGTGAAGTTTCAGTTTAATGGGATCACACCCACCTATCAATTTGTTACTGTTGGTGTAAAAGTCAATAGCTGAGAATCTTGTTCTACTCCGTTCAAAGTTACAGGTTACTCAAGATCCTGTGCCTACTACATTCTGACTGCGTGTATCGACTGCATTTTTCAATTCTGTCAAGCACCAAACACACATTAAAGGAATGTCTTTAAAACGAGATCACATCGATGCCTATGACTCATGACTAACATTTAATAATCTTGTGCCTAACAAACGGGCTGCTGGGAGAAGTGTGTTTCAGACGAGGGCAGGGGTCGGCAACGTGCGGCTCCAGAGCTGCATGCAGAGCTGCATGCAGAGCTGCATGCACAGCTGCATGCAGAGCTGCATGCAGAGCTGCATGCACAGCTGCATGCACAGCTGCATGCACAGCTGCATGCAGGTCTGCTTTGTGGCGTTATTCACGTGCATTGCGGCTCTTAAAATATTGTGATTTTTACCGGAAAAAAAAAAATGGATCTTGTTATTTTGGTTGCCGACCCCTGTATAGGGTGACTACAGACTACACATATGCTCGTGTCTTGTACTGTAACACACGTATTTATGAATATGTGTGCGCGCACAGTAATGGAATACCTTGGTGTCACGGTTGAACTGGGCTGAGCTCTCCTCCTGCTGTACACACCAGGGCAAGTCGAATTCTAAACAAGGCAGGCGACTTGGTTGCGTGGACAGCACCACTCGGTCTTCCCCCAAGTCCAGCTGTAGGGAGCTGCTGGATGTCTAACACAGCATAAAGGCACTATTTGTGAACTCTTGATAGTTATACAGCAAAACGTGACAGCACTTAACAGGGCATCAGCAATTTGTCAGAGCTTCTCGGTACCCGAGAGCATGTACATGCATTGTCCTTCCCGGCACCTCCGATTAGCACGATTGGCTACGTACGGTGCGAACGAAGTTCAACTTCCAAACATAACGAACAAACTGCACGGCGGTGTAAATTACCACGTGGTACATTTGCGCTCGTTACTCAGGTAAAAGGTAAAGGTGCAGCTCTGCAACGTTTTTCAGACAAATCCCAAAGCTCCCTTACATAGAGACCATTAACAAACACTCGGGTTGTTAATCGATAAGCATTTTCAGAATCCATTACCTGGTTCTAAAAGCAAGGAACTGGTAACCGTTTCCAGTGAAGGGTTAGGAATGAATGTGCTGATCAGCACTCACACCTTCGATGAGCATGGTTGGCTACATACGGTGCAAAAGAAGTTCAAAATACGGACATGCACACAAGTGAGTTTTGGACAGTGCTTATTTCCACGACTGGCTGCTCATAACTGGCTACTAACCAGTAGTGGAAATTCCACATTCTCATGAAAGAAGCCAGTCCATCCATAGTATGACCACTCTTGGAGCATTGATATGTCCAAGAGGTAGTGCATCCGTACTACCCCGGAGGTTCACGGATCGATCTTAATTCCTGGACTGTCCGGGTCAAACCCAGGCAGGTGGCAAGTCTGGTTACGCATGAAGCTGTAGTGTTATGGTGCAGTATACTGGTAAAGTGCTCCTATGTATTGCGATTACCATCTTCGGCAAGTTAATTTCCGCAACCAGAAAACGCGGCTGTCCACTTGCGGGCTCTCGCAGCAGCCGGTACTTTGGCTGAACGATCCTGCGCACATGAGCACACATGCGCTGTAACGCAACCGTGTTGAGATTCACCTTCATGAGAATTAACTTATGAGTGATATCAAATTTAATGATGGTTTGGAACTGCAAAAATAATGACATTTTACGTGATATGCGTAACGATAGAAAGACCTGAAAACGTAATACGATTCAAGTTTTGGACCGTTCAAATTAGAGGGGTAATTTTTTCCATTATATCCTGACCTACGGGCATTTGTATCCGGAGATTTTGAGGGGCACTAAATCTGAATGTAATTTTTTTCTCTCGACCCTTCTGGGGTAATTTTGGAAACTAGGTGGGTAAACACAAAGTGGGCAAAGACTGAGACCAGTTTACTTGAATCACAGCAGCAGCCGGGGTGAGGAACTTCACGTTTCTCTCTTCCATATTGTAATCGTCGTATTGCTCTCGTGATCGCTTGAAGGTCTGCCGTTGAGTGATTTTATCATCACCGTGTATGTACAAGTACTGTGGCATCATACTCACGATTCTCTCTCCTTGGGTTGGTTACTCGGTAGTTGTGATGACCTGAGAAAGGCACGGTTAATAAATAGACACGTTCATGTTCTATCACCATTTACACTTTGTGCAAGAAAGCACGGTGGATGGTGAGTCACTTGAAGTTACCAAATCGTTAGATAGTTATATATAGAATAAGACCCAAACCTATATCCCGTTTAATGTATATCATTGAATATAAAATACAGTTGAATATAGATATTGCGGGTTTGGATGACCGCGGAGCAAATCACGTCCCCTGAAAAAAACTGTTCAGTGGCCGATCCAGCCCCCATCTCCCACCCTTCCCTCTCCATTGGTCACGGCGCAGTTCGGCAGCTGACAACGAAACAGACTCACACAGAGACGTAAACAAAGACAAAGATCCCATGTATAAGCTTAAACTGTAGGGGCAAGTGTTGTCAGCGAGCACCAATGAAGGCCGAAATGGCATGCGAGGGGGTGGGTGGCCAGTACCACATCCGGCCGCCTTTGTCTCCCTCGTGGCAATGTTTACACACCACACTGAGGTACTCATTTCAGACTGAGTCGACCTAGGGGAGGCCCACGATCAGTTCAGATAATCATCAGTGGTGTTGGCCGTGAGCGAGAATCGAACACAGACACACACAGAGACACAGATACACACGTGCATTTTCCGTTACAATGTGGGTAGCCTTCGCGGGGGTTATTCATGTTCCCCGATGCCCGCGTTATATCGGGATTTTATTGTATATGCTATTGGCCATATAAAAGCATAAGTTATTTACATTTTCTAAAATGCAGCTATACTAGTTCAAAAGTAAAGCTTTTAAATTTGAGACGTGATTGACATGTTTTAAGTAACTTTCAAAAATGTCAGTTTAACACGTAGGCTTTAGCGACAAATATTATTCATGATAAAAAGTTTTTTGGGTGAGATCGTGTTAATTTTAACGACACGTTTATATTTTTTGATTTAAAGCTTTCATGACTGCAGGGATTCATATTCTTGGTTCTTTCAGTAAAGTCACGTAGAAGGGAAACAATAAAATAATAAAAATATAAAACAATAAAATTCTCAGGACGTTTCGACTGCAACACAAGCAATCATCATCAGGTGTGAAAACCACAAGAAACTTTGAAAAAAGTGGCGGTTATTTTATATTTTTATTATTTTATTGTTTCTCTTCTACGTGACTTTACCGAAAGAACCCAGAATATGACACATTTATATTTACACAAACTAACCAAAAAAACCTTTGTTATGATGGTGAGATGCCATCGTGCAGCTAGGGCAATACACAGCTGGACAGCCCCTACTTCCCGCTTGCCCTACTGAAGAGTGGACGGTCCAGAGAGGGAGCAGAGACTTTGTCTGTAGTTAAAGAGGTGAAAAATCCGATGAGGCAAACTAATTACTTATATATGACACGAAATATTCACAAGCGTCGTTGAGAATACAACTAAATAAGACAATACGCATCATTGAAATACATGTCACTCCACATATAAAATATAAGTTTTTTGCACATTCCATCAGACAGTTCAGCATTTGTTCAAGCAAGCCTGACTGCTGAAGAGATACCAAATGTTGAAACCGGTTCGAGTTTGTTTGTGCTGAACCAATGCTACTGTAATTATGCACTTGCAGAATACAGCGTGACTTGATGGGATTTGTACAAAATACTTTTATTTATTTTACGTAGATTATAGATAGGTATGTGGAGGCGTATTGTCTGCTTCGTCATTTTGCCCATCCACAGTCGTTACCCGGAGGACAGCTCCTGGATGACGGGGCGAGGACGCGTTCGTACGTGCTGCTGGGACAGGGAGCCCATGAACTTGCGGTTCTTCAGCAGCTTCCACTCTGACACAGCGACAGGCGTGACCCGGTCGGTGTATTATTAGCCAAGCATGACGAGCAAAACATGGCGATTCACATCTTAGCCTCATTTATTGACTTTCATGTGGTTATCATAGGCAAATAAAGACATTAACAGTCATTTAGATAAATAATACGAAGACTGAAAACCAGTATTTTGTACATTGCCTAATTAACAGATCTAATTACTCTGGTATTTAAATGCCACGTTCTGTGAACTCGAGGATATTTACGTGCATCAGTCGTGCTTCCAGCTGTGGGCTCTTCGGTGTTTGCCTAACCACTGAATCAATCACGAACAAGTTTACCACGCAACATTGCCAATGCTCGAAACTTTATAATTAATTGGTTGGTGATATTGACTGCGGAGTCACTTGAAAATGTTCTGCCTTTAACATTTAAGAAAATTATAATTCTCCCGCGAGCAGATCTAGACGAGCGAACAGGGATGGATGGGGTCATGTAGTGAGCACAGGCTAACCAGTACGTGAAGATGCAACTGATGGCAAGGAAAACTGGCAGGTGCCGTTAAGGCTACTGCGAGTAACACCGACACTAGCCATACCAGATGACGCCAAAAGGCGCCTTTTGGCGTCATCTGGTCCAACACCATGTGAGACTCGGCTCTAAGAAAAGCCGTCTCAGGTGTGGACCAATCAACTTCAAGTAAGTGGCAATTTGGATAGACTGGTCCTTACATTGGAAATGTAATTTCCACCATGAGCTCAGAGCATCCACCAAAAATAAACAAGAGACACGTCTTTTCGTATAAGCAGGGAGACGCATTCACTGTTGACTTAACGGTAATTTTATGTATGAAGCCACCTACAGAAATGCTCTTGTGTAAGAATATTGCACCGATAGTCACCTTTGTTTATCTGAATGTGGTACTTGTCCTCCAATCCCTCGAGCACCACGATGAGCAGGAAGTTCATGAAGAGTTCACTCCCCTGACACACGCAGTGGGAAAGATCAATTGCCTAATCACTCAAGACAAGGGTAACATGTTCACATATCACACCGTTATCGCAGTTTGTGCACACATTGTTACAGGTTGGCCAGCCAGGTGGCTCAAATTGTCCCTGGATTCCACCTGTGTTAACTGTGCTGTCATTTATCAGAGGAAATCAAACAGCAAGGCAGCCAGGCGGTGAGCTGGTGTCAACAATTGCCCAAGCTCTGCAATCCTATATACATATTAAGATGTTTTTCACCAAATTCATGAGCGTTTATATATGTGTGAGGAAAACAGAGCAACAGGAGAAACCAATACATGTGATTTGGACAACACTCTATGCATGTGGAACAGACAAGAGTCCACATTTAACTGTACTGCCTTCACCTGGCAAGGCAGGATATGGCACCTTGACACCCATGGAAAGAACAATTTTGAGATCCACCAATCCAGCTGCCTCCATAGTGGCGGATCACAGGCGTGCGCAGTCACCACTGCCCGGCTGTAGGGGTTGAAGCGTGATGGACCATGAACAATGCAAAGGCTTTACCCACCTTTGCCCGTTCATAGAATTCCGGGTTTATGACCACGTCGTACGCCGTGCAAACATTTCCACCTGTGAAGCGACACGAAAGTATTAAGGAGCATTGGTTTTCTATCATTGCACAAAATCATTAACGTGTAGGAACATGCAGGCCGATTTAAAATCAGAATTACAGCCACACCCAGAGCCGTACAAGGACAGGTTTTCTCAAAGACAAGAAGCCTTGAGACAAGCGATGCATCAGCCACAGTGTGTGAGGCTAAAGAGTGAAGAGGCAAGCAGACCTGCCTTTAGAGAAAGGCATGAAGGCAGACATGCACCTCTAGGTTATACACACGACTACAGTTGAGTCATTAGCAAACAATGCACGCGACACCATTCAGGGTCCACATTTACACTTTCACTGGAGAAACCTTTGGTAAACAGATTGAATATGAATCTAACACAAGTATTACATTACTAACCTGTAAACATGCATTACTTTTAACAAATTAAAAAAAAAACCCATTTAAATGAAAACTGCTCCAATTTGGTTCACTCCTGTTCTCTCCAACCCGAAGTATGGAAATATTAAATTTGGCTGGAGTTGATCAGTCTTGATTACTTTTGCCGGGCGCAGGTGTCTGTGTTGCACGTGGCCTCTAACCCAGCACTGTGGAGGCAGAGAGGGTTGGTGGATCACACACACATGTTGTGAAACTCCCTCCCTATCCGTGGGTGTTGAGGTCGCTATGTCTTGGCTTGCCAAGGTATGATGGCAGTATAGCAAGTGAGTTCAATTCTATCTGTATGAGGGAATGAGTGTTACCCACCCCGTACGTGTGGATCTTCTCCGGGTACTCCAGTTTTGCCCCACATGTATAAACACTCATTAAGGGATTACAAACATCCCCAATATAGTTGGCGCCAAGTCTGCCTTCCCAATTGTCTATGGTTTTCTGTGCCACTGAATCGTTCTCTACGAGAGTGAACGAACACCGTGCACGTTACAACCTATTAAATTATCAATTATCAGTTGCAACACTGGGAAAGCTCAACACCTTGTTTATGCTGTAACCACATACCTGTGTCAAACTCATTGTGTGGCTCTCCAAGGCTCATGGGCACGCGGAAGGAGGTGGGATCGCTGGAGTCCAGCAGCGTAGCCAGCTGCTCCTCCGATATCGACGGAGGAGAAGGCACCGCGGGTGACGTGCAGACGTTCACAAAAACCTTGCCAGGCTGCTCTCCCTCGGGACCCCCTTGGGTTTTTACACAGAAGCCTGCATAACAGAGAAATGTCGAAGAAACATGAACACATTGTAATTATTGTGATGAAAAAATAAATAGGTTTTACCCTTTTGGCATAATTTTTAAATACAGTGGTCCCTCGGTTTACGATGCTATCGATTAACGATATTTCGATTTAACGATCTGCCTTCCGTGGGGCCCCATTGTGGCTAGTGGTGACAAATTTTCGATTAACAATAAGTGTTTACGATATCACACGGACCCGCCAATTTCGGCCAATCAGAGCACTCCTAAGTGGACTCGGCAGACCTCATCCAATCAGCGACATCTCCTTCCAAAAAAGTTTTCACACCAACTTCTCCATCAACCCCTTCAATCTTCTTAGCCTAAGGTAAGAATTTGTATTTAATACTCTATTTATATACCTTTTTTATGCTATATTTATTCATTATTTATCAATGTGTCTGTTAATATTAACGCTTTAATGTTATTATAACGTTTAAATATTATAAACTATATTTTTAGGGTGAAAAAGGTCAACTTCCGATCGCCTTGGAAAAAATGTAGCCTTTATTATGTATTTGCTATATTCGATTGACGATAATTTCAATTAACGATGGTTTTCGTACAATCAATTAATATCGTTTACCGAGGTATCAATGTAATTGCTCAAACCGAGATATTAATGCTTTGCCTTTGTATTTTTGCCTTTTGGAGTTATCTGGTATAACACTTGAAAGATCCATTTAATCATACGTATGTACGTTGAAACTTCTTTCATACCGTACATAGATAATGAGAATCGCGTCTTTTGCAAGCGAGAGCCAGGTAAATTTCACCGAGCTATTTGTTGCACAATAGGGAGGTAAAATTCAGCAAGCACAGCTCAATTGTGGCTGCTCACACGTCCATCTCCCAATTTATCTATGAATCCTCAGATAATCGATTTTAACACCCCTGATCTCGTCGTACTAGTCGCCTTGCATTTGTGATATTTATTTTAAATGAGTAATGATTGGTAATGTGCAGTTACCTGGCGAAGGGGTGATCTGATTTGATGGCGGGACAGGCACAGGATGAGCCGCCTGGGCTTCTTCTACAGCCTGGAGACATAACGTACACACGCTTAACACAACAACAAAGATCCCCCGTGTAGCCTTAACAGACTCTTTGAGGTGAGTGCTGTTAGCGAGCACCGATAAAGGGCAGCATGGCTCATGAGGGGGTGGGTGGCCAGCACCATGCCCGGCCGACTGGATACCTGTGAAAAATCACTTTATAGCCCATCGGATTCCTCCAGTATAAATAAATATTCGGATTTTGAGTCTGTCTCCCTAATGGTGATGTTTACACCACTGCAGGTACATGGATCTGTATTGGAACCCATGGCTACATCGCCAAATGGCTCCTTTATTATCCAAACCAGCAGTGGCCAATACGTGGACCGTGATTTAAGGATGGAGCGCGAAATATTTTTTGTGGATCTCAGCACATATCAGAACACTGACATAAGCACATAACAATTCTCGGCTGATGGCAAATAAAAATCCCCGACTAAGACTTATACATAAAAAATATTACTTCTACCAATAGATGGTGGAAATATTTTGTCTACACTGAAGCATAGTATAGGGTAGTTGTTGTCCATAGCTTTCTTGTGGTTCATGAAGCCGGTTGAGATCAGCCAGAATGGATCACGGTGCTCGGTGTATTCGTCGCTGTTTATCCAAACCCACATGCTCATCACCCCATTGCGTAGGTTGCACAACATTTTATATCTTTAAAAAAGACTGAGCACAGGCCCATCAAACAAAACAACACAATGTTGATTGAGCACCGCACAGATAAGACGAAATAATGGACATTGTTGACTAAAGTCCAATTTCACCTGCACAGCTTGTAATAGATTTTGATTTAAAGCTTTCGTGACTGCAGTAATTCATATTCTTAGTTCTTTCGGTAAAGTCACGTTGAAGGGAAACAACAAAATAATAAAATATATATAACAATAAAAATTCTCACGACGTTTCGACCATAACACAAACGGTCGTCTTCAGGTGTGTTGGTTTGCATAAATTTGCAAACCAACACACCTGAAGACGACCGTTTGTGTTATGGTCGTGAGAATTTTTATTGTTTTATATATATGTTATTATTTAGTTGTTTCCCTTCAACGTGACTTTACCGAAAGAACTAAGAATATGAGCTTGTAATAGATTGGCATTAGTGAGTGCTGGTGTCACTGGTGAGCACTGGTGACTGCTGGTGTGTTCGTGAGTGCTGGTGAGTGTTCGTGTTAGTGAGTGCTGGTGTCACTGGTGAGCACTGGTGACTGCTGGTGTGTTCGTGAGTGCTGGTGAGTGTTCGTGTTCGTGAGTGCTAGTTAGTGCTGGTCAGTAGAAGTATATGATGGTGAGTGTTAGTGAGTGCTGGTGACTGGAAGTGAGCGCTGGTGAGTGTTAGTGCGTGCTTGTGAGTGTTCGTGAGTGCTGGTGAGTGTTAGTGAGTGCAGGTGAGTGTTAGCGAGTGTTGGTGAATGCTAGTGAGTGCTGGTGAGTGTTAGGGAGTTCTGATGAACGTTCGTGAGTAACGGTGAGTGTTAGTGAGTGGTGGTGAGTGTTCGTGAGTGGTTTTGTGTTAGTGAGTGTTGGTGAGTGTTAGTGAGTGTTGGTGAGTGGCAGTGAATGTTAGTGAGTGACATTGAGTGGTTTTGTGTTAGTGAGTGTTGGTGAGTGTTGGTGAATATTGGTGAGTGTTGGTGAGTGGCAGTAAGTGTTAGTGAGTGGTGGTGAGTGTTAGTGAGGGCTGGTGAGTGGGTGAGTGCTGTAGTCTCTGGATACCTGCAGCATAAGCCGCCTATAGAGCAGCTCGTCCTTCTGGGTGCCCAGGTGCAGCAGCTCCGTATTGCTCATCTCTATCACGAGCACACACACGAGCAGTCAGCCAGGGGCTGCATAGCACGCACCCTGTACAAAACAATCTGAAATACATGCACCCTATATGACATCTACACATCACTGCAATACATGCACCCTATACAAAATGTACACAGCACTTCAATACATGCACCCTATACGAAATGTACACAGCACTGCAATACATGCATCATATACGAAATGTACATAACTCTGCAATACATACACCCAATACATATACCCTATACATGTACACAACACTGAAATACATGCACCCTATACATGTGTAGTGACATAGTGACATAGCGCCGACTGCTGTCCAGAGCGGAGCCAGGCCGTGCCGAGTAGGATAAAAGCAGTGGAGAGCGAGAGCTCCGGACTGCCAGTTCTGGGAAGGGGACTCATCTCGTCATCACTGTCATCTTCACCGCCTTCGTCGCTGCTGTCTTCACTTGATAATTGCACGGCCAGATATTTGTTGGTTGTCTCGGTTGACGCCGGCACCACGCATGGCGCGCAGTGCGGGCCCCCACAAGGGGGAGCAGGAGAGTGTCAGCCCAGGGGCAGGGTTGCCCCGAGCCATGGCACTCTGGTTGACCCCATAAGCACGTGATCTGGAGTGTCCACAGAGAGGCCCCCAGGTGGGGGGGCTATGGGGTGATCACGTGTCCGGGAAGAGCTCTCGAGAGGGATCGAGAGGGAGCTAGAACGCTTGCGAAGGTGGGCGGGGCCGAAGACGGAGCCGGCCCCGAACCGGGAGGATATAAGGTGGGTCCCTGAGAGGGACCGGGTCACTTCGTTCTACAACCTGGAAGCTCTACGTCTTACATCTGAAGAGGCACCTATACGTGGCCGGGAACCCGAGTGAGGGTCTGATCCATCGTAGCCTATGTGTAGTGTAGTTAGCTGGGTGGTCACCACCCTAGGCTGTATCTGGTAAAGGGGCAGTTACCCCTTTGTACATACGTGTTGCGAATAAATGTTGCCTCTGAAGAATAACGTCTGCGACTCAGTTGGACTCACTACACATGTACACAACACTGCAATACATGCACCCTATACGACATATACACAGCACTGCTGTGTTGCGTCCATTTCAAATTGCAATTGCGTCTGCGAGCAAACTTCTCTCGGTGAGGAGTTTTCACTGCAGCCTGAGCGAGTGCTTGTTGCACTGTCCGTGTACGGTAAGCACTGTACGTGGGGTGGCGGATCGTGACCACCACCATCAGTGATGACAGACACATGGGATGGGAGTGATTTTTTTGGAAAGCTAAATTTAATCATGAAACATTAACATGGCATATAGACGTTTCCTTTTTTCAAAACGCAGTTGAGAAACAGCGATCCAACGAGCCAGAGCGTCAAGTGGTCATCAACAAAACGTACTATCAATGTTGCTATAGATATCCGAGTTAACAGGTTATTTTAAGAGCTTGGGGAAAGAAGATGGGAGAGGATTTCCAAAATGGAATTGGGCAAAGCGGAAGAATCACAAACAGGAGCGTTGTTGACCTGTCGTGTGGTGGTGGGGTGAGTTGCTGTGACCTGCAGTGTGGTGGTGGGGTGAGTTGTTGTGATCTGCAGTGTGGCGAGTTGCAACTGGGTGAGTGGTGAGCAAGGGTGGCAGTACAGTACGTATGTACTGTATGGTGAACTTCTTTTGCACCGTACGTAGCCAACTGTGCCAATCGGATGGACACCAAATGTGACCGTTCTGGTACGGTACGACCATTTTTTCAAAGGTATGCCATTACGGTAGGATGTTTTTTTTGTACGAAATACGAAAAGAAATTCGCGTCGTACCGTACTGCAATCCTTGGTAGTGAGTGTGACAGGGATGTTCTCTGGCTCATACAATAATTTAACATTATTTTTCACCACGCAGTTCGAAAAGCTTACCATGACTCTACCTGTGGAGATTTCATTTGGTACAGATTACAATGGGAGGCTGATCAATGCCTAGGTCCGGTTAAAGGACAACTCCCTATTCGTAAACCATGTTATGTATGGCGATGATCTGGTGATTGATGGTCACTCAAGAGGAGTTGAAGAGTTACTGCTGGAAACTTCCACTGAGAGGTGGGACCTTACCACCAGATCCGTGATATTGTCATCAAACACTCCACCCCCTTAACTCCCACGAGTGACGGGACAGTTGTGAAGAGAGATAAGTTTCCCATACCGAGGCTTTACGCTTATGACCAGTTCCCGTTTGGCAGCAGGTCTCACTGCGAATTAGTCGAGCGGCATTATAGTTTAATTGGCTGCGCAACGCTGTTTGGAAGCTCCCACAGGAGAATGTGGAGCTGAGTGGACTTGCCGATGGCTGGTACCAGCGGGTGTCAAGTCGGCCTCTGTGGAGGGGGAGGAGGAGGCAGTCGCCCTCCAACAGCGGAGGGCGGGTGGATAAAACACAGCGGCTTGGCACAGCGGGGAGAGCACAATGTGGTGCCTCTCTGCCAGTCATCTCAGTTAACTCACGACACTTGGGTCTGTCCCGTGACCTGCCGGCAACGAGCATTCCAACACTTCACGTGGCCTCGAGGTGCACCTAGCCTGGCACGAGCGCTTGCGGTGACGTCACCACCACTTGGTGGCGAATTGCGGACGTGTTGAGTGCGCGAGGTGCCTCGTTGTTACCCGCAGTGTTGGTGGTTGAACGCAGTCACGGATGAGAATAAACAGCCAGGCAAGGAAGGCCTCAACGCGGGTCGGGAGGAATCAATGAATGAAGTAATGAAGTTCGCACATCAGCGGTAACGACGGCAGATTTAGCGAGCGACGGAAGAGTGACGGGCCGGGGCAGGCGACGAGTGACTTGGAAGGTGAATTCGCCGAGCTTCAGGATCAAGTCGTGGGCCACCGCTGGGCCCGTGGTGGAGGCGCGCGAACTCCGCCGCCGCCAGAGGCCCCTTGACGACCACCACCCACCCCGCACCGCGGCGCACGTGACGCGCGACATCCGGGTCAGGGGTCACGCTTCGCTTCCGGATCACGCGCCGCGCACGTGGCCGCGGTTCGCACGAGGTGGTGGTGGTGATAAAAGAGGGGGGTGGGAGATACCGTGGTGGTGGTAGTGAGAGGGGGTAGCGAGGTGGTGGTAATAGAGAGGGTCTCGTGGTGGTGAGAGAGCGGGATACCGTGGTGGTGAGAGAGCGGGTCTCGTGGTGGTAATAGAGGGGTCTCGTGGTGGTGAGAGAGCGGGTACCGTGGTGGTAATAGAGGGGGTCTCGTGGTGGTGAGAGAGCGGGTCCCGTGGCGGTAATAGAGGGGGTCTCGTGGTGGTGAGAGAGCGGGTACAGTGGCGGTGAGAGGGGGTCCCGTTGTGGTGAGAGAGAGAGCGGGGGTCCCGTGGTGGTGAGAGAGAGGGGGGGTCCCGTGGTGGTGAGAGAGAGGGGGGGTCCCGTGGTGGTGAGAGAGAGGGGGGGTCCCGTGGTGGTGAGAGAGAGGGGGGGTCCCGTGGTGGTGAGAGAGAGGGGGGGGTCCCGTGGTGGTGAGAGAGAGAGGGGGGTCCCGTGGTGGTGAGAGAGAGGGGGGGTCCCGTGGTGGTGAGAGAGAGGGGGGGGGGGTCCCGTGGTGGTGAGAGAGAGGGGGGGGTCCCGTGGTGGTGAGAGAGAGGGGGGGGTCCCGTGGTGGTGAGAGAGGGGGGTCCCGTGGTGGTGAGAGAGAGGGGGGGGGGGGTCCCGTGGTGGTGAGAGAGAGGGGGGGGGGGGTCCCGTGGCGATTCCCCCGCGGGATGTTACTGCCATGAGTCGCTGAAAACCCGCGTAATGGGCAACGGCAGTGAAACCACACTCCGCGACATTTTGAACATCGCGTGCTTGTTGCTGCTGCTGTAGAAGTTATCCGGCCACACGAAAGAAGTTACCGCCTAGCTGACCCTCGCCATGTCTGGGAAACGGAAGACTGAAGGGGCCGATGTCGGTTCGACGAGGAGACGTCGAACCATCATCACTATGGAGATGAAGATGGACATCATCAGGCGATCCGAGAAAGGCGAAACTTCTGCGGCCATAGGACGTGCACTAGGCCTCAACCGGTCGACGATCGGGACGATCATAAAAGATAAAGAGCGAATCGTGGAGCACGTGAAGATCGCGGCGCCTGTGAAGTCGATCATCATTACAAAGCAAAGTGGCGTGCTCAGCGAAATGGAAAAACGTTTGCTGATGTGGATCGAGGACCGGAATCGGCGGTGTGCGCCCGTAAGCCTCTTGCAGATCCAGAAGAAAGCGAAAAGCCTCTACGAGCATTTGAAGCCGAAGGTTGGCGAAGGCGAGGGTGCGAGCAAAAGTGACAAGTTCGTCGCGAGTCGCGGATGGTTTCACAGGTTTAAGGCGAGGGCGAATTTGCGCCACGTTAAATTGAGTGCGGCGAGTGGTCGTGTTGAAGCTGCAGCAGCAGGGACCACAGCTGCAGCAGCTGCAGCAGCAGCTCGTGAATGCCCAGAAGGTTGGGCCGATACGATGAGCGAGGAGGAGGGCTTCAGTGCCCAGCAGGCGTTGAACGTGGACGAGACGGGAAGTTTCTGTAAGAAGACGCCTGGTCGCACCTACATCGCCAAAGAGGAGGACGACGAGACGACTGCCCCACGCCTTGTAGCTGCTGCGGACGATCCCGGCGCGGCTGGGGACACCGCGGACACGGCCGCTGACGAAGTGGCGGAGTTGGGAAAGCAACTTAAGCCGGAGCTTGAGGCTGACGATGCTCAGCAGTTGCTCGGCAGCCATTCGCAAGAGCTAACCAACGTGAATGTCGTGGAACTTGAGGCGCAGACGCTTGCGGGCGAAGCCGAGGTCGCTGACGTTACGGAACCAAAGAGATTCAAAACCAAACAATTGGCGGAAGCTTTCGGGCACTTTGAAGTTGGCTTGGCTCTGCTTGAGGCGCAAGACCCCGACGCGTCTCGGTTCGCCAACGTCGCCAGAGTTGTGTGCGGTGGACTGAGTTGCTACAAAAAGATTTATGAAGAAGAAGAAAAGAAGGTTGAAAGGGAGCCAGAGCCGACAACATCAACATCGTCAGCAATAACTCCAGAAAAGTCTCCCGAAGGGTGTCCTGCATCGTCCTCGCCTGCATCGCAGTCTCTTTACAATTAGGCATCTATCCCTACACAAGCAAGCCAGCATGAGTGTACTCAAGGTAAAGAAAACAACACGGAGTTTTATGTTCTATTTACTATATTATATTTGTAAAATGTTACGTGCAAATGTAGGACGATTCTTACGAGTTTAACAACAATTATTCCCTTTTTCAACGGTTTTACTTAACTTGACTCCTATGTTTGTCGTGGTCAAATCTTGTTATCAAAATTTCGGCCACTTCCCGTTGTCCAATCAATTCCACATTTTGCACACGTACTCAGATCCGGTGACAATGCATGCCTGTATCAAAATCGGCATCAATTGATTCGCTACTTTAAAGCAATTAACATTTTGTATGGACGCCTTATTATTTATATATATATTTGTGTCGGTCAAAAACGCCGCGGTTTCCTAAGCTGTGGCATCGGCTCGCACAAAACTTTTTTTTTTAAAGGAGTTTATTTGTTGTTGAACCGTAACGCATTTCAAAGCACCCGCCGTGTACGCATTTAAATACAGAACATTATTACACTTACTGTGTTACGGACTTGGGAACAGTTTGGTGGTGATGATAGTTGTTGGGGAGCGGCGGCACGAACCACCCGGCGACCCGAATTCAATTCCCGCTCACGATCAACAACACCAGTGACGGATTACCTGAACCGTTCCTGGGCCTCCCCTAGGTCGACTCGGCCACAAATTAGTACCTGGTGCGGTGAGTAAAAACATGGGGAGACAAAGGCGGATGGCCGTGGTCCTGGCCACCCACCACCCCCCTCGTGCGCCGTGCCGGCCTTCACAGGGTGCTCCTCGCTAACAGCAATTGCCCCAACATTGTGTCAAGGCTACCCGGGAGATCTTTGTTGTTGAGAGGAGGCGCGAGGCCTTCGGGGTGGGGGGGGGGGTCCCGGCTGTTCACTGGGACGCGTGGACTTGCTGGCTTCGCGTGCTCCGGTCGCATTTCACGACGCGTCTCGTTTCGCCGCTTCACTTTTTTTAATTCCCTCTCTCGTCTCTTACCCATACGCTCCAAATAATCGCCCTGCTCGCAGTTCAACGAAACGCGTTCACCCATATCTCTCCGTTGCATACAACGGCGATAGTGCTGTTTGTTGCTGGCCGCTTAATGGGATTCTAGGCCCGTCCCCACCAACTGTTCAAGAAAATATATCTCCAGCTTTATGCCAAATGTAAAAAAAAGTCGGCATTTGAATGGGCACTCGTGGCCCGTTGAATAGAAAACGTGGGGAGTCCTTCCGTGTGCCCAGTGGGAGCCGCAGGGAGTGTCCGTGGGAGGCCTCTTAGGCCCACGAGCTGACCACGAGGTGAACCTTAAGCAGAGCCAGACATGGGGGGGGGGCACACGGAATGGAAATAAATGACACTGAAAATGCCTTAATTCAAATGCGTTTAACGGGAACATTTGCAAGGATATTCGCTCTTTCGTGAAGCAATTGTGAGCAAAACACAACATTGTGTGCATCGGTAATTAGGACAGGAGTGGGGATGCATCGGTAATCAGGATAGGCCGCAGCGTCTGTAATAACATTAAGGGTCCGTCCATAAATGACGTCACGCGATTTTTGACCCCCCCCCCCCTTCGTCACACGGCGTCACAAAAAGTCAGACCCCCCCCCTCAAATATGACGTCACAAAGCTCTGGCCCCCCCCAAAAAAATATATAAAACATGCTTCAAATGGGTTTAAACTATTGTCATTGCAGTGCGTATTTAATGTAGCGCTGCACTCTCATGTTGTAGGAGAAAACATAAAAAGTATATTTAATTAAGTAGAACGTGTTTATATTTAAAGTTGCACATTTTGATATGACGTCACATTTCTCACCCCCCCCCTCGTCACACATCGTCACAATTGTCTGACCCCTCCCCTAGGTGCGTGACGTCATTTATGGACGGCCCCTAAGCGCTATTCACGTCTCTCTCGCTCTCTTACCATGCGCAAAATAAAGTTACACTAACTGCGGATATGTATTCTTACATTCTCCGAAACAGTACCGAATGTGTGTTTTTTACACTTATTTAACTTGCCCTACTCTTTGGTTCTATTGGGTAAAGTCACGTAGGTAAAAAAATAACAAAAATCACGACGTTTCGGCCACAACACAAGCGGCCTTTATCAGGTGAAGGGACGAGACTGTCTGGAGGACAGCGCTGGAGTGAAAAACTTGCCCTGTTGACCGTTTATATTCTTTAAAATCTTTGACGCGTAATATCTCCGGATCTACGAAACATTCCGAGCTGAATTTTTCTACACACAGACTCGCCGTAGTCTCGCGTGACAATTCAAGATTTCATTTTTAAAAAGTCTGGTCCAGGTGCCGCCAATCCTGGGCCTATTCGTGTTTTTTGTTGTCATTAATACCCGTACATTCGACATGATAAATTTGCGTTATGCAAGCCACCAACTTTTATTCAGCACATCAATTTTAATTAATTATGTGATCACTATAATGTATTTTCTATTTTTGAGTGCAAATAACAGTGCGTGCATTGAAAAGCTTGATTTTTTTTTAAACCATCATGGGACCTCCTTTGCCAGTACCAAAATATGATAATAGGGTTTTTCCTTTTTTCTGGCAACAAAACAGGCGTTCAGATGTTAAAACACCAACCTGAAACCTTTTGGCGTCCACTGGTCGCACACCGTTTGAGACGAGGCTCAAAAGAAAGCCGTCTCTGGTGTGGACCAATCGGTTTCAAGGACAATGCATATACTATCAGTGTTATTTGTTTGCATTCTGACCACAGGCATTGTGGTCAGAATGCAGACATGATTCTTTGTAAAAGGTTTCAATTTGGTGTTTTGACACTTGTTTTGTTGCCAGAAACAAGGGGAAAACCTATTATCATTTATTAAAGCGGTTTTAAAGTTATCAAACGGCTCACTCGGTGCTCTGGCGTTGCCAACATTACTGCGTGACTGCAGTCGTGCCGGTCAGCCACAAAGTGACACGGCTAGGAGGAGGGAGGAGAATGGGGTGTGGGATGCCAAGTCACACAGCTGGCAGTCATAGATAGATTCTCTCTGGGAGGAAACGAGTTTGACATTCATAACACTGATTTAAAGCTTTCGTGACTGCAGTAATTCATATTCAAAATACACCGTTAAAAAATAAATAAATGTATACAAACCGACACACCTGATGACGACCGTTTGTGTTATGGTCGAAACGTCGTGAGAATTTGTATTGTTTTATATATTTATTTTATTGTTTCCCTTCAACGTGACTTTACCGAAAGAGCTAAGAACATAATATTCATAACACTGTACAGGTGTTTTGGGTTGGATCGCATAAATATATAAATGTGTCGTTAAACCCGCCACTACCAAACACAACTAGCTCACTAACTGGCGAAACGTCATACTCCTATTGTAAATGTTGTGGCTTGGCTCTCTAACACCGGTGTGCTGTACTAGAAACGAATTGGCATGTTCTGTTTGTGACAACCCTTACTATTTGGCTGTGGCGGGTGGTGGCGGGTTTAACGATGCATATATTTACTCGATCTAACCCAATAAACCTGTATTATAGATGATATTGGTCGCGAAAGCTTTCGTGTTGAACTGAGTTTGCCATTATTTCACCCGTGGTGCGGGCAGAGCGCTCCGGTGCGCTTTGCGGGTGGACCAGCACGTGTGCCCAGAACGCATCGTAACGGGAGCTCGTGTTCGTGAAGGAGCTGACCCCTCTTGGCGTGGAGCGTTTGGTGTTGTGTGGGTGCCAGAATCCGCCCGATCGTTTTTTGCGAATTCACTGTTTCGCGGACACGACGCACTCGGTGGCCGCTTGGGAGCAGCGCTCTGCGCACCGTTCGTTAGGAGGCAACATATGCCTGGTAGTGCTGCTGCACAGAGCCCCTGCTCCATTGATAGCACCCCTGGTGATAATTTGAGCCTAAATACCGTACGCTCTGTTTACAGAGTCGCCCCGGGCCTATACAAGTAAAATAAGGGCGGTAACGCGACCAAACGAGGTTCTCAAGTCCTAAAAACGTGCGTAAGGTGCAGTAAAGCGATTAAATACGTCCAGAATCAGATTCGATACCTGTTTACACTGGAGGAATCCGCTGAGCTGTGAAGCTCTTTTTCATCGATGTCCGGTAGTTGCAGGTCAGAGCAGGTCAGAACGTTACAACAACAAACAATACAACGTCGTGAGAATATTATTGTGTTATTTTATTTTATCAATTTATTATTTTATTCTCATTCTACGTGACTTTACCGAAAGAACCAAAGAAGATGAATACAAAAACAATTAGTTAAAACTATAGGAAAGGTACACAAAGCACTTAACAATTTATACAAACGTATTTACAAAAAATATATACAAACGTCCATTATAACTAGCAATTCTATACAAATAAAACATAAACAGGCAATTGATTGCAAAGGACGAACATTTACAAAGGATGAAGTTGGCCTGCTAACTCCACCTATAGTTACCAAATTAAATGGTTGCGTGAGTAAGTCTTTTGAGACCTAACTCACCATTTGTTATAGGCATTGATCATGGTATTTATGGCTAAAACTGTTGTATGTACTTGGCTTGACACTGAATTTCCAACAGCTACATCCTGCCTTACACAGAATATCACTCCTGAGTTGCAATGACCGCTGTGCGGTTTGTTTATTAGCTCATGCCAAATAGCACGTTCATTCCTAACACTCCACTGGAAACGTTCACTGGTTTCCGACTTTTAGAACCAGGTAATTGGTTATAAATGGTTATTGGTTAACAACCCGAACGTTTGTTAACCGGCTCCGTATGTATGTATGTTGAACTTATTTTGCACCGTAAGTAGCCAACCGTGCTAATCGGAGGTGTGGCGAAGGACAAAGGATCATTGGGATTTATTGTCTCTATGTTTTTGTCATTCTTTTAGCCATCTTAGTACTCTTTGAGATGCATTATTCCCAACAGCTATGTCCACTTCCTGCCTCACACAGAATATCACTCCTGAATTGCAATGATGATGCTTGTGGCTGGTTTCGCTAAACTCTTCTGAGAGGAAATGATGCCCTTGTGTTCCACTTGGCTGGCTGAGCAGTTCGCAGAGACCCACTCACTGTACAGAAAGCGTGCCGGTGCTAATTAATGACCTAGTCACTTCTTTTATGTGGTTCTATAACATGTGTTGGTGGTGTGCTTTGTGGTTGTGATGTGCAGGTTCAATAGGCGCTGTGAGGAGGTGTTGTACGGAGAGCTTCTATTCAGGCCCACGAGCACCATGGCAACAGGTGCACTCAGTGACTGGTACCCCTTTTCCACTGGCACATCCGAGCCGTACAAGCACAGGGCCAACATGGCTCGTGTGGTTTTCCAGAGGTATTTTACCAAGCCAAAACCGAGCCATGCAGCACTGGGCTCACAAAACATTGTCGTAGCCTGGAACTAATCGAGAGCTCTTTGAGATTCAGTATTTGTTATTAAACTGAGAGCCAGATGAGATTGCTTTGTCCTGTTCTTTAAGCATAGGACACCACTCAGATTGACTACAGCATTTAATTAGGTTATCAATGTACAGGCAGTCCCCGATCTTGCGAACGTAAACTCGCACTTGTGAACTGAACCGCGGAACTATTTGGTTCGGCGCAGCGATCCTCCGCGCGATGAGTCTCAGCATCCCGCATAATGCGCAATGGGAGTGAACCGGTCGGCGACATTTTGCGTCCATAACATCGCATGCTGTTTATGCTTCTGTGCATAAGTTTAGATATCATTACCGACCCTCACCACATCTGAGAAACTGAAGGAACTGATGTTGGTGGGTTGAGGAAACACCGCACCATTACTAAGAAGGTGGACATAATCAAGCAGTTCAAGAAAAGTGAAACGCCTACGACCATGGGGATTAGGCCTTAACCCATCCACAATAGGAAAAATAAGACATCGAATTGTCGAGCATGTGAAGAGCTCGGTGCCTCTGAAGTCCACCATAATTACAAAGCAAAAGGAGTGCTGTGATCAGCAAAATGAAAAAACTGTTGCTTACATGGATTGAGGACCAGAATCGGCATCATGTGCCAGTGAGCCTTATGCTGATCCAGGTAAAAGCAAAACGTTTGTACCAACATTTAAAAGCTAAGCTAGGTGAAGGTGAAAGTGGAGAGTTTGTTACAATAGATTTAAAGCAAGGGCAAATTTGCGAAACGTTAAATTGAGTGGGGGAAGCTACTAGTGCTGATGTTGAAGCAGGTCTTGAATTTCCTAATCGTTTGGCCGATGTAATTATTGAGGAGGGGGGGTTCAGTGCTCAGCAGGTGTTCAACATGGACGAGATGGGAAGTTTTTGGAAGAAGATGCCTGATCGTACTTACATTGCAAAAAAGTCTATGCATTTTAAGCTGGCTTGGCTGTCCTTGAGGCACAAGACTACGACGCGTCTAGATTCACCAATGTCGCAAGAGTTGTCAATGATGGGCTGAGTTGCAACATAGAGTTTTATGAAGAAGATAGCATCTGTCCAAGTTTCCTTTGGTTGGGTTTTCATGAAGTTTGAAAGGTAACCAGAGCTGACCCGATCAACATCATGAGCAATGTCTCCGGAAAAGTCTCCTGAGAAGTCCCATTCACCATCCTCGCCTGCATCACTATCTTCCAATGAAGCATCTATATCTCTTACACAAGCAAGCCAGCATCAGAACTCGAGGTAAAGAAAACAAAACATTTTTTTTCATGTTACTTTGTTTTATGTGTTATTTATTCTACAGGCGTGTCGTCTCGCTTAACGAGTGAGATACGTTCGGCAGACATTGCTCGCTAAGCGAACGCTTGTTAAACGACCGTCGTTTTCCCATTGATGGACTCCTCCCATGTTAAAAGCTGAGATACGTTTCAACCCCAAAAATGTTACACTCTAGAACAACTTTTTTTAATATGAGAACTACAAATGACTATAATTGTAAAATAAAGTGAAACATCAAATGTAACGCCACACATAAAGAACCACAGTGCAAGATCCCCCAAATAGCCTACAATATCACCTTACAGCCACATTTGAAAAAAGACACTCGCTCGCAATCTCTCTCCACTCCATCACACAGATCCCTCGCGCCCTCTCACACTCTCACACTCTCTCCGTAACATGCACACCTCCCCTCCCCCAAGACAGAGATCCCCCTTATAGCCTTAAACAGACTGTTGGGCCAAGTGCTGTTGGCGAGCACCTATAAAGGCTGGTACAGCACACGAGGGGTCGGTGGCCAGCACCACGCCCGGCTGCCTTTGTTTTATTTGTCTGAGTGGCCCTACGGAAGGCCCAAGACGGGTTCAGATATCCCATCACTGGTGTCGGCGGTTAGCGTGAATCGAAGTCTGGTCATCGAGTTCGTGGCGCCACGTGCTAATTGTTCCGCCACCACTCCCCACACCCACCCCTCATGCCTCTCACCCATTACAGTGCCACACGAGGCCCCCACCCACCACTCCGCGCAACCCCCCCCCCACCCCGCAGCCACAGGCGTTTAATGCAGCACGGCACAACTACCAAGCAAATAGCTGCGGGCCGTGGTGCACGCCCTACCGCCACGGGACGCATTTGATCAATCGGTCTCCACTTATTACGAGAATATTTGGTACTTTGACAAACAAATTGGGCTAAATTCAAATTGCTCTCGATAAAAGAATGCTCGTTAAGCCAGACACGCCTTACAGGATTTTTTTTCCCAGTGTTACATGCAAATGTACAATATTTATTATTATTTATGAGTTTACCAATGTTTGTTGGTGAACCGTAGAACATTTAATGCCACTGTATGTTACTATTTAAATAGAGTACGTTATGTTCCAACTTACGAACCAGTCGACTTATTAACAAGTATCAGGAATGGAACCCGTTCATAAGTAGGGGACTACCTGTGACCATAACAGCACAAGAGTGGCGCTTAAACTGCTGGTCCAAAGAAAGGTGGAGGAAGTGAAGTTTCGATTACCCCTTAAGGGCCATCCATTTATTACGTATGCATGGAAGGGGAAGGATGGTTAACCCAGATGCGTACGCTTGCGTATGGGGGGTCGACTGACAATGTACGTATGCATAGGAAACGGGGTGGGGGGGGGGGGGTGAAGCCTCGATAATAATTTGTCTACATTGGCCTTCAAATGAGCCACAGTTCAGTTTCTTCAGCTGTGAGACAAGTCCTCCCGGGAGAAGTGGGACTGTGGGAGAGGTGTCACTTGTATGCCACCGTACCCCTGACTGCAGCTATCACGCAGCTCGGCAAAATAAGTGGCCAAGGTACGCAACTTTAATGCTGTTTGCTTAAACACTTTAATATTATTAATCCTTGATCGTTTCTGCGTGGATTAAATATCCACCGTTCTATAGGATTCGGGGGGGGGGGGGGGGGTAAAAAGTACACGTGCGTACAGGGAGGGGGGGAAGGGTCAAGTTTTGACAGTTTTTTGCGTACGTACTAAATGGATGCCCCCTTACGGTACAAGTTGGCAATCAACTGTCAGCAGCTGACAGGCTCTTGAATTAACATAGAGCGAGGATTAGTGGGAAAACCTCAAAATCGATGACTCGCAAATGAATAAATGAGTAATCTAAACCTCTAGCAGCAGCAGCATTCAATGTGTGCATGGCTTGATGCTGAACTCCCAATGGCTACATTCAGAGTTCCCGCCTCGCACAGAATATCACTCCTGAGTTGCAATTATGATGCTTGTGGCTGGTTTCGCTAAACTCTTCTGAGAGGAAATTATGCCTTGGTGTTCCACTTGGCTGCATGAGCAACTCACAGACTCCAATTCACACTGTAATGGCAGGGCATGGCGATGCTTGTTCATAAACTCGTCGCTTGTCTGTAGTTCTATAACGTGTGGTGGTGGTGCGCTTTGTGGTTGCGATGTGCAGGTTCACTAGGTGCTGAGGAGGTGTTGTATGGACAGCGTCTATTCAGGACCACGAGCACCATGCCAACAGGTGCACTTACAGTGACTTGTGCTCTTTTTCCACTGAAACATCTGAGTCATGCCAGCACAGGGCCAACATGGTTTTGATGGTTTTCCACAGGAATTTTACGGAGACAGAACCTAGCCATTCTACGCTGGCCTTACCAGACATCATCGTAGCCTGTGACCAATTTAGAGCCCTTTGAGATTCAATAGTTTGTCATTATTAACCCATCTGAGAGACAGATGAGATTACTTCTTCCTGTCCTTTGTAGGACACCACTGAGATACAGTGCAGGGTTTATTTGGGTTAAATTAGTTTTGTTTGCATTGCAATTGGACATTTTTATCTGATAAACTTATTGAGTGGCCACAGTGAATAAAAACGTTAGGATGCTGGACATCAAAGATGATTGGTAGGTCACGTGTGGTGGGGTAAAGTGTGGGTATGCCCTCATCTTCCAAGACGTCTGGTCAGCATGGAAGAATAGACCAAATACCCCCAAGAACTTCCTCCAGTGAGTTCCTACCACCAGCGGTGTCGTGAGCAAGCAGTTGCTGAGCTGCACCTTCACCATTTACTGAAAAACGAGGGCAATGTACCACGTGGTGACTTAGACCGCTGTGCATATCTTTTTGTTAGCACGTGCCAATGCAGGCGTTCATTCCTAACATTACACTGGAAATGGTTATCGGTTGCTGACTATTAGAGCCAGGTAATCAATTCTGAAAAGCCTTATCGGTTAATTACTCTACAGTTTAGTAATGGTCTATATGTAAGGGAGCGTTGGGATTTCTTATCTCTACATTTGTAGTTATTTTAGCCCTCAGTACACTTTTAGATTAATTATACCCAACAGCCATTTCCACTTCCTGCCTCACGCATAATATCACTCCTGAGTTGCAATGATGATGCTTGTGGCTGGTTTCGCTAAATTCTTCTGAGAGGAAATGATGCCTTTGTGTTCCACTTGGCTGGCTGAGCAGCTCACAGACCCCAATTCACACTGTACTAGCAGGGCATGTCGATGCTTGTTCATAACCTCGTCGCTTGTCTGTAGTTCTATAACGTGTGGTGGTGGTGGTGTGCTTTGTGGTTGCGATGTGCAGGTTCACTAGGCGCTGTGAGGAGGTGTTGCATTGACAGCGTCTATTCAGGACCACGAGCACCATGCCAACAGGTGCACTTACAGTGACTTGTGCTCTTTTTCCACTGGAACATCTGAGTCATGCCAGCACAGGGCCAACGTGGCTTTGATGGTTTTCAACAGGAATTTTACGGAGACAGAACCTAGCCATTCTACGCTGGCCTTACCAAACATCATCGTAGCCTGTGACCAATTTAGAGCCCTTTGAGATTCAATAGTTTGTCATTATTAACCCATCTGAGAGCCAGATGAGATTACTTCTTCCTGTCCTTTGAGTGTAGGACACCACTGAGATACATTGCAGGGTTTATTTGGGTTGTTAAATTAGTTTTGTTTGAATGGCACTTGGACATTTTAACCGATAAACTAATTGAGTGGCCACAGTGATGTAACTGTTAAGATGCTGGCCATCAAAGATGATGGGTAGGTCACATGTGGTGGGGTAAAGTGTGGGTACGCCCTCATCTTCCAAGATGTCTGGTCGGCATGGAAGAATAGACCAAATACCCCCAAGAACTTCCTCCAGTGAGTTCCTACCACCAGCGGTGTCGTGAGCAAGCAGTTGCTGAGCTGCACCTTCACCATTTACTGAGAAACGAGGGCAATGTACCACGTGGTGACTTAGACCGCTGTGCATTTATTTTTGTTAGCACGTTCCAATGCAGGCGTTCATTCCTAACATTACACTGGAAATGGTTATCGGTTCCTGACTATTAGAGCCAGGTAATCAATTCTGAAAAGCCTCATCGGTTAATAACTCTACAGTTTAGTAATGGTCTATTTGTAAGGGAGCGTTAGGATTTGTTTTCTCTACATTTGTAATTATTTTAGACCTCTCAGTACAATTTTATATTAATTATACCCAACAGACATTTCCACTTCCTGCCTCACACATTATATCACTCCTGAGTTGCAATGATGATGCTTGTGGCTGGTTTCGCTAAACTCTTCTGAGAGGAAATGATGCCTTTGTGTTCCACTTGGCTGGCTGAGCAGCTCACAGACTCCAATTCACACTGTACTGGCAGGGCATGGTGATGCTTGTTCATAACCTCGTCGCTTGTCTGTGGTTCTATAACGTGTGGTGGTGGTGGTGTGCTTTCTGGTTGCGATGTGCAGGTTCACTGGGCGCTGTGAGGAGGTGTTGCATTGACAGCGTCTATTCAGGACCACGAGCACCATGCCAACAGGTGCACTCACAGTGACTTGTGCTCTTTTTCCACTGGAACATCTGAGTCATGCCAGCACAGGGCCAACATGGCTTTGATGGTTTTCCACAGGAATTTTACGGATCCAGAACCTAGCCATTCTATGCTGGCCTTACCAAACATCATCGTAGCCTGTGACCAATTTAGAGCCCTTTGAGATGCAATAGTTTGTCATTATTAACCCATCTGAGAGCCAGATGAGATTACTTCTTCCTGTCCTTTGAGTGTAGGACACCACTGAGATACATTGCAGGGTTTATTTGGGTTAAATTAGTTCTGTTTGCATGGCACTTGGACATTTTTAACTGATAAACTTATTGAGTGGCCACAGTGAAAAAAACGTTAGGATGCTGGACATCAAAGATGATTGGTAGGTCACATGTGGTGGGGTAAAGTGTGGGTACGCCCTCATCTTCCAAGACGTCTGGTCAGCATGGAAGAATAGACCAAATACCCCCAAGAACTTCCTCCAGTGAGTTCCTACCACCAGCGGTGTCGTGAGCAAGCAGTTGCTGAGCTGCACCTTCACCATTTACTGAGAAACGAGGGCAATGTACCACGTGGTGACTTAGACTGCTGTGCATTTATTTTTGTTAGCACGTGCCAATGCAGGCGTTCATTCCTAACATTACACTGGAAACGGTTATCGGTTCCTGACTATTAGAGCCAGGTAATCATTTCTGAAAAGCCTCATCGGTTAATAACTCTACAGTTTAGTAATGGTCTATTTGTAAGGGAGCGTTAGGATTTGCTTTCTCTACATTTGTAATTATTTTAGCCCTCTCAGTACAATTTTAGATTAATTATACCCAACAGGCATTTCCACTTCCTGCCTTGCACAGAATACCACTCCTGAGTTGCAATGATGATGCTTGTGGCTGGTTTCGCTAAACTCTTCTGAGAGGAAATGATGCCTTTGTGTTCCACTTGGCTGGCTGAGCAGCTCACAGACCCCAATTCACATTGTACTAGCAGGGCATGTCGATGCTTGTTCATAACCTCGTCGCTTGTCTGTGGTTCTATAACGTGTGGTGGTGGTGGTGTGCTTTGTGGTTGCGATGTGCAGGTTCACTAGGCGCTGTGAGGAGGTGTTGCATTGACAGCGTCTATTCAGGACCACGAGCACCATGCCAACAGGTGCACTTACAGTGACTTGTGCTCTTTTTCCACTGGAACATCTGAGTCATGCCAGCACAGGGCCAACGTGGCTTTGATGGTTTTCCACAGTAATTTTACGGATCCAGAACCTAGCCATTCTATGCTGGCCTTACCAAACATCATCGTAGCCTGTGACCAATTTAGAGCCCTTTGAGATGCAATAGTTTGTCATTATTAACCCATCTGAGAGCCAGATGAGATTACTTCTTCCTGTCCTTTGAGTGTAGGACACCACTGAGATACATTGCAGGGTTTATTTGGGTTAAATTAGTTCTGTTTGCATGGCACTTGGACATTTTTAACTGATAAACTTATTGAGTGGCCACAGTGAAAAAAACGTTAGGATGCTGGACATCAAAGATGATTGGTAGGTCACATGTGGTGGGGTAAAGTGTGGGTACGCCCTCATCTTCCAAGACGTCTGGTCAGCATGGAAGAATAGACCAAATACCCCCAAGAACTTCCTCCAGTGAGTTCCTACCACCAGCGGTGTCGTGAGCAAGCAGTTGCTGAGCTGCACCTTCACCATTTACTGAGAAACGAGGGCAATGTACCACGTGGTGACTTAGACTGCTGTGCATTTATTTTTGTTAGCACGTGCCAATGCAGGCGTTCATTCCTAACATTACACTGGAAACGGTTATCGGTTCCTGACTATTAGAGCCAGGTAATCATTTCTGAAAAGCCTCATCGGTTAATAACTCTACAGTTTAGTAATGGTCTATTTGTAAGGGAGCGTTAGGATTTGCTTTCTCTACATTTGTAATTATTTTAGCCCTCTCAGTACAATTTTAGATTAATTATACCCAACAGGCATTTCCACTTCCTGCCTTGCACAGAATACCACTCCTGAGTTGCAATGATGATGCTTGTGGCTGGTTTCGCTAAACTCTTCTGAGAGGAAATGATGCCTTTGTGTTCCACTTGGCTGGCTGAGCAGCTCACAGACCCCAATTCACATTGTACTAGCAGGGCATGTCGATGCTTGTTCATAACCTCGTCGCTTGTCTGTGGTTCTATAACGTGTGGTGGTGGTGGTGTGCTTTGTGGTTGCGATGTGCAGGTTCACTAGGCGCTGTGAGGAGGTGTTGCATTGACAGCGTCTATTCAGGACCACGAGCACCATGCCAACAGGTGCACTTACAGTGACTTGTGCTCTTTTTCCACTGGAACATCTGAGTCATGCCAGCACAGGGCCAACGTGGCTTTGATGGTTTTCCACAGTAATTTTACGGAGACAGAACCAAGCCATTCTACGCTGGCCTTACCAGACATCATCGTAGCCTGTGACCAGTTTAGATCCCTTTGAGATTCAATAGTTTGTCATTATTAACCCATCTGAGAGCCAGATGAGATTACTTCATCCTGTCCTTTGAGTGTAGGACATCACTGAGATACATTGCAGGGTTTATTTGGGTTAAATTAGTTCTGTTTGCATGGCACTTGGACATTTTTAACTGATAAACTTATTGAGTGGCCACAGTGAAAAAAACGTTAGGATGCTGGACATCAAAGATGATTGGTAGGTCACATGTGGTGGGGTAAAGTGTGGGTACGCCCTCATCTTCCAAGACGTCTGGTCAGCATGGGAGAGTTGACCAAATACCCTCAAGAACTTCCTCCAGTGAGTTCCTACCACCAGCGGTGTCGTGAGCAAGCAGTTGCTGAGCTGCACCTTCACCATTTACTGAGAAACGAGGGCGATGTACCACGTGGTGACTTAGACCGCTGTGCATTTATTTTTGTTAGCACGTGCCAATCCAGGCGTTCATTCCTAACATTACACTGGAAATGGTTATCGGTTGCTGACTATTAGAGCCAGGTAATCAATTCTGAAAAGCATTATCGGTTAATTACTCTACAGTTTAGTAATGGTCTATATGTAAGGGAGCGTTGGGATTTCTTATCTCTACATTTGTAGTTATTTTAGCCCTCAGTACACTTTTAGATTAATTATACCCAACAGCCATTTCCACTTCCTGCCTCACGCATAATATCACTCCTGAGTTGCAATGATGATGCTTGTGGCTGGTTTCGCTAAACTCTTCTGAGAGGAAATGATGCCTTTGTGTTCCACTTGGCTGGCTGAGCAGCTCACAGACCCCAATTCACACTGTACTAGCAGGGCATGTCGATGCTTGTTCATAACCTCGTCGCTTGTCTGTAGTTCTATAACGTGTGGTGGTGGTGGTGTGCTTTGTGGTTGCGATGTGCAGGTTCACTAGGCGCTGTGAGGAGGTGTTGCATTGACAGCGTCTATTGAGGACCACGAGCACCATGCCAACAGGTGCACTTACAGTGACTTGTGCTCTTTTTCCACTGGAACATCTGAGTCATGCCAGCACAGGGCCAACGTGGCTTTGATGGTTTTCCACAGGAATTTTACGGAGACAGAACCTAGCCATTCTACGCTGGCCTTACCAGACATCATCGTAGCCTGTGACCAGTTTAGAGCCCTTTGAGATTCAATAGTTTGTCATTATTAACCCATCTGAGAGCCAGATGAGATTACTTCATCCTGTCCTTTGAGTGTAGGACATCACTGAGATACATTGCAGGGTTTATTTGGGTTAAATTAGTTTTGTTTGAATGGCACTTGGACATTTTAACCGATAAACTAATTGAGTGGCCACAGTGATGTAACTGTTAAGATGCTGGCCATCAAAGATGATGGGTAGGTCACGTGTGGTGGGGTAAAGTGTGGGTACGCCCTCATCTTCCAAGACGTCTGGTCAGCATGGGAGAGTTGACCAAATACCCTCAAGAACTTCCTCCAGTGAGTTCCTACCACCAGCGGTGTCGTGAGCAAGCAGTTGCTGAGCTGCACCTTCACCATTTACTGAGAAACGAGGGCAATGTACCACGTGGTGACTTAGACCGCTGTGCATTTATTTTTGTTAGCACGTGCCAATGCAGGCGTTCATTCCTAACATTACACTGGAAATGGTTATCGGTTCCTGACTATTAGAGCCAGGTAATCAATTCTGAAAAGCCTCATCGGTTAATAACTCTACAGTTTAGTAATGGTCTATTTGTAAGGGAGCGTTAGGATTTGTTTTCTCTACATTTGTAATTATTTTAGCCCTCTCAGTACAATTTTAGATTAATTATACCCAACAGGCATTTCCACTTCCTGCCTTGCACAGAATATCACTCCTGAGTTGCAATGATGATGCTTGTGGCTGGTTTCGCTAGACTCTTCTGAGAGGAAATGATGCCTTTGTGTTCCACTTGGCTGGCTGAGCAGCTCACAGGCTCCAATTCACACTGTACTAGCAGGGCATGTCGATGCTTGTTCATAACCTCGTCGCTTGTCTGTAGTTCTATAACGTGTGGTGGTGGTGGTGTGCTTTGTGGTTGCGATGTGCAGGTTCACTAGGCGCTGTGAGGAGGTGTTGCATTGACAGCGTCTATTCAGGACCACGAGCACCATGCCAACAGGTGCACTTACAGTGACTTGTGCTCTTTTTCCACTGGAACACCTGAGTCATGCCCCACAGGGCCAACATGGCTTTGATGGTTTTCCACAGGAATTTTACGGAGCCAGAACCAAGCCATTCTACGCTGGCCTTACCAGACATCATCGTAGTCTGTGACCAATTTGGATCCCTTTGAGATTCAATAGTTTGTCATTATTAACCCAACTGAGAGACAGATGAGATTACGTCTTCCTGTCCTTTGAGTGTAGGACACCACTGAGATACAGTGCAGGGTTTATTTGGGTTAAATTAGTTGTGTTTGCATGGCACTTGGACATTTTAACTGAGAAACTAATTGAGTGGCCACTGTGAAAAAAACGTTATGATGCTGGACATCAAAGATGATTGGTAGGTCACATGTGGGGTAAAGTGTGGGTACGCCCTCATCTTCCAAGACGTCTGGTCAGCATGGAAGAGTAGACCAAATACCCCCAAGAACTTCCTCCAGTGAGTTCCTACCACCAGCGGTGTCGTGAGCAAGCAGTTGCTGAGCTGCACCTGCACCATTTACTGAGAAACGAGGGCAATGTACCACGTGGTGACTTAAACCGCTGTGCATTTATTTTTGTTAGCACGTTCCAATGCAGGCGTTCATTCCTAACATTACACTGGAAACGGTTATCGGTTCCTGACTATTAGAGCCAGTTAATCAATTCTGAAAAGCCTAATCGATTAATAACTCTACAGTTTAGTAATGGTCTATTTGTAAGGGAGCGTTAGGATTTGTTTTCTCTACATTTGTAATTATTTTAGCCCTCTCAGTACAATTTTAGATTAATTATACCCAACAGGCATTTCCACTTCCTGCCTTGCACAGAATATCACTCCTGAGTTGCAATGATGATGTTTGTGGCTGGTTTCGCTAAACTCTTCTGAGAGGAAATGATGCCTTTGTGTTCCACTTGGCTGGCTGAGCAGCTCACAGACCCCAATTCACACTGTACTAGCAGGGCATGTCGATGCTTGTTCATAACCTCGTCGCTTGTCTGTAGCTCTATAACGTGTGGTGGTGGTGATGGTGTGCTTTGTGGTTGCGATGTGCAGGTTCACTAGGCGCTGTGAGGAGGTGTTGCATTGACAGCGTCTATTCAGGACCACGAGCACCATGGCAACAGGTGCACTTACAGTGACATGTGCTCTTTTTCCACTGGAACATCTGAGTCATGCCAGCACAGGGCCAACGTGGCTTTGATGGTTTTCCACAGTAATTTTACGGAGACAGAACCTAGCCATTCTATGCTGGCCTTACCAGACATCATCCTAGCCTGTGACCAATTTAGATCCCTTTGAGATTCAATAGTTTGTCATTATTAACCCATCTGAGAGCCAGATGAGATTACTTCTTCCTGTCCTTTGAGTGTAGGACACCACTGAGATACAGTGCAGGGTTTATTTGGGTTAAATTAGTTCTGTTTGCATGCCACTTGGACATTTTAACTGGTAAACTTATTGAGTGGCCACAGTGAAAAAACGTTAGGATGCTGGACATCAAAGATGATTGGTAGGCCACGTGTGGTGGGGTAAAGTGTGGGTACGCGCTCATCTTCCAAGACGTCTGGTCGGCATGGAAGAGTAGACCAAATACCCCCAAGAACTTCCTCCAGTGGAGTTCCTACCACCAGCGGTGTCGTGAGCAAGCAGTTGCTGAGCTGCACCTTCACCATTTACTGAGAAACGAGGGCAATGTACCACGTGGTGACTTAGACCGCTGTGCATTTCTGTTTGTTAGCACGTGCCAATCCAGGCGTTCATTCCTAACATTAGACTGGAAACGGTTATCGGTTCCTGACTATTAGAGCCAGGTAATCAATTCTGAAAAGCCTCATCGGTTAATAACTCTACAGTTTAGTAATGGTCTATATGTAAGGGAGCGTTGGGATTCGTTATCTCTACATTTGTAATTATTTTAGCCCTCTCAGTACACTTTTAGATTAATTATACCCAACAGCCATTTCCACTTCCTGCCTCACACAGAATATCACTCCTGAGTTGCAATGATGATGCTTGTGGCTGGTTTCGCTAAACTCTTCTGAGAGGAAATGATGCCTTTGTGTTCCACTTGGCTGGCTGAGCAGCTCACAGACTCCAATTCACACTACTGGCAGGGCATGGCGATGCTTGTTCATAACCTCGTCGCTTGTCTGTGGTTCTATAACGTGTGGTGGTGCTCTTTCTGGTTGCGATGTGCAGGTTCACTTGGCGCTGTGAGGAGGTGTTGTATGGACAGCGTCTATTCAGGACCACGAGCACCATGCCAACAGGTGCACTTACAGTGACTTGTGCTCTTTTTCCACTGAAACATCTGAGTCAATCCAACACAGGGCCAACATGGCTTTGATGGTTTTCCACAGGAATTTTACGGAGCCAGAACCTAGCCATTCTACGCTGGCCTTACCAGACATCATCGTAGCCTGTGACCAATTTAGATCCCTTTGAGATTCAATAGTTTGTCATTATTAACCCATCTGAGAGCCAGATGAGATTGCTTCTTCCTGTCCTTTGTAGGACACCACTGAGATACAGTGCAGGGTTTATTTGGGTTAAATTAGTTTTGTTTGCATTGCACTTGAACATTTTTAACTGATAAACTTATTGAGTGGCCACAGTGAAAAAAAACGTTAGGATGCTGGACATCAAAGGTGATTGGTAGGTCACGTGTGGAGGGGTAAAGTGTGGGTACGCCCTCATCTTCCAAGACGTCTGGTCAGCATGGAAGAGTAGACCAAATACCCCCAAGGACTTCCTCCAGTGAGTTCCTACCACCAGTGGTGTCGTGAGCAAGCAGTTGTTGAGCTGCACCTTCACCATTTACTGAGAAACAAGGGCAATGTACCACGTGGTGACTTAGAACGCTGTGCATTTATTTTTGTTAGCACGTTCCAATCCAGGCGTTCATTCCTAACATTACACTGGAAACGGTTATCGGTTCCTGACTATTAGAGCCAGGTAATCAATTCTGAAAAGCATCATCGGTTAATAACTCTACAGTTTAGTAATGGTCTATATGTAAGGGAGCGTTGGGATTTGTTATCTCTACATTTGTAATTATTTTAGCCCTCTCAGTACACTTTTAGATTCATTATACCCAACAGCCATTTCCACTTCCTGCCTCACACATAATATCACTCCTGAGTTGCAATGATGATGCTTGTGGCTGGTTTCGCTAAACTCTTCTGAGAGGAAATGATGCCTTTGTGTTCCACTTGGCTGGCTGAGCAGCTCACAGACTCCAATTCACACTGTACTGACAGGGCATGGCGATGCTTGTTCAATACCTCGTCGCTTGTCTGTGGTTCTATAACGTGTGGTGGTGGTGGTGGTGCGCTTTGTGGTTGCGATGTGCAGGTTCACTAGGTGCTGAGGAGGTGTTGTATGGACAGCATCTATTCAGGACAACGAGCACCATGCCAACAGGTGCACTTACAGTGACTTGTGCCCTTTTTCCACTGGAACATCTGAGTCATGCCAGCACAGGGCCAACATGGCTTTGATGGTTTTCCACAGGAATTTTACGGAGCCAGAACCTAGCCATTCTACGCTGGCCTTACCAGACATCATCGTAGCCTGTGACCAGTTTAGAGCCCTTTGAGATTCAATAGTTTGTCATTATTAACCCATCTGAGAGCCAGATGAGATTACTTCATCCTGTCCTTTGAGTGTAGGACATCACTGAGATACATTGCAGGGTTTATTTGGGTTAAATTAGTTTTGTTTGAATGGCACTTGGACATTTTAACCGATAAACTAATTGAGTGGCCACAGTGATGTAACTGTTAAGATGCTGGCCATCAAAGATGATGGGTAGGTCACGTGTGGTGGGGTAAAGTGTGGGTACGCCCTCATCTTCCAAGACGTCTGGTCAGCATGGGAGAGTTGACCAAATACCCTCAAGAACTTCCTCCAGTGAGTTCCTACCACCAGCGGTGTCGTGAGCAAGCAGTTGCTGAGCTGCACCTTCACCATTTACTGAGAAACGAGGGCAATGTACCACGTGGTGACTTAGACCGCTGTGCATTTATTTTTGTTAGCACGTGCCAATGCAGGCGTTCATTCCTAACATTACACTGGAAATGGTTATCGGTTCCTGACTATTAGAGCCAGGTAATCAATTCTGAAAAGCCTCATCGGTTAATAACTCTACAGTTTAGTAATGGTCTATTTGTAAGGGAGCGTTAGGATTTGTTTTCTCTACATTTGTAATTATTTTAGCCCTCTCAGTACAATTTTAGATTAATTATACCCAACAGGCATTTCCACTTCCTGCCTTGCACAGAATATCACTCCTGAGTTGCAATGATGATGCTTGTGGCTGGTTTCGCTAGACTCTTCTGAGAGGAAATGATGCCTTTGTGTTCCACTTGGCTGGCTGAGCAGCTCACAGACTCCAATTCACACTGTACTAGCAGGGCATGTCGATGCTTGTTCATAACCTCGTCGCTTGTCTGTGGTTCTATAACGTGTGGTGGTGGTGGTGTGCTTTGTGGTTGCGATGTGCAGGTTCACTAGGCGCTGTGAGGAGGTGTTGCATTGACAGCGTCTATTCAGGACCACGAGCACCATGCCAACAGGTGCACTTACAGTGACTTGTGCTCTTTTTCCACTGGAACACCTGAGTCATGCCCCACAGGGCCAACATGGCTTTGATGGTTTTCCACAGGAATTTTACGGAGCCAGAACCTAGCCATTCTACGCTGGCCTTACCAGACATCATCGTAGTCTGTGACCAATTTAGAGCCCTTTGAGATTCAATATTTTGTCATTATTAACCCATCTGAGAGCCAGATGAGATTACTTCTTCCTGTCCTTGGAGTGTAGGACACCACTGAGATACATTGCAGGGTTTTTTTGGGTTAAATTAGTTCTGTTTGCATGGCACTTGGACATTTTTAACTGATAAACTTTTTGAGTGGCCACAGTGAAAAAAACGTTAGGATGCTGGACATCAAAGATGATTGGTAGGTCACATGTGGTGGGGTAAAGTGTGGGTACGCCCTCATCTTCCAAGACGTCTGGTCAGCATGGGAGAGTAGACCAAATACCCCCAAGAACTTCCTCCAGTGAGTTCCTAACACCAGCGGTGTCGTGAGCAAGCAGTTGCTGAGCTGCACCTGCACCATTTACTGAGAAACGAGGGCAATGTACCACGTGGTGACTTAGAACGCTGTGCATTTATTTTTGTTAACACATGCCAATCCAGGCGTTCATTCCTAACATTACACTGGAAACGGTTATCGGTTGCTGACTATTAGAGCCAGGTAATCAATTCTGAAAAGCCTCATCGGTTAATAACTCTACAGTTTAGTAATGGTCTATTGGTAAGGGAGCGTTAGGATTTGTTTTCTCTACATTTGTAATTATTTTAGACCTCTCAGTACAATTTTATATTAATTATACCCAACAGACATTTCCACTTCCTGCCTCACACATTATATCACTCCTGAGTTGCAATGATGATGCTTGTGGCTGGTTTCGCTAAACTCTTCTGAGAGGAAATGATGCCTTTGTGTTCCACTTGGCTGGCTGAGCAGCTCACAGACTCCAATTCACACTGTACTGGCAGGGCATGGCGATGCTTGTTCATAACCTCGTCGCTTGTCTGTGGTTCTATAACGTGTGGTGGTGTGCTTTGTGGTTGCGATGTGCAGGTTCACTGGGCGCTGTGAGGAGGTGTTGTATGGACAGCGTCTATTCAGGACCACGAGCAACATGCCAACAGGTGCACTTACAGTGACTTGTGCCCTTTTTCCACTGGAACGTCTGAGTCATGCCAGCACAGGGCCAACATGGCTCTGATGGTTTCCACAGGAATTTTACGGAGCCAGAACCAAGCCATTCTACGCTGGCCTTACCAGACATCATCGTAGTCTGTGACCAATTTGGATCCCTTTGAGATTCAATAGTTTGTCATTATTAACCCAACTGAGAGACAGATGAGATTACGTCTTCCTGTCCTTTGAGTGTAGGACACCACTGAGATACAGTGCAGGGTTTATTTGGGTTAAATTAGTTGTGTTTGCATGGCACTTGGACATTTTAACTGAGAAACTAATTGAGTGGCCACAGTGAAAAAAACGTTATGATGCTGGACATCAAAGATGATTGGTAGGTCACATGTGGGGTAAAGTGTGGGTACGCCCTCATCTTCCAAGACGTCTGGTCAGCATGGAAGAGTAGACCAAATACCCCCAAGAACTTTCTCCAGTGAGTTCCTACCACCAGCGGTGTCGTGAGCAAGCAGTTGCTGAGCTGCACCTGCACCATTTACTGAGAAACGAGGGCAATGTACCACGTGGTGACTTAAACCGCTGTGCATTTATTTTTGTTAGCACGTTCCAATGCAGGCGTTCATTCCTAACATTACACTGGAAACGGTTATCGGTTCCTGACTATTAGAGCCAGTTAATCAATTCTGAAAAGCCTAATCGATTAATAACTCTACAGTTTAGTAATGGTCTATTTGTAAGGGAGCGTTAGGATTTGTTTTCTCTACATTTGTAATTATTTTAGCCCTCTCAGTACAATTTTAGATTAATTATACCCAACAGGCATTTCCACTTCCTGCCTTGCACAGAATATCACTCCTGAGTTGCAATGATGATGTTTGTGGCTGGTTTCGCTAAACTCTTCTGAGAGGAAATGATGCCTTTGTGTTCCACTTGGCTGGCTGAGCAGCTCACAGACCCCAATTCACACTGTACTAGCAGGGCATGTCGATGCTTGTTCATAACCTCGTCGCTTGTCTGTAGCTCTATAACGTGTGGTGGTGGTGATGGTGTGCTTTGTGGTTGCGATGTGCAGGTTCACTAGGCGCTGTGAGGAGGTGTTGCATTGACAGCGTCTATTCAGGACCACGAGCACCATGCCAACAGGTGCACTTACAGTGACATGTGCTCTTTTTCCACTGGAACATCTGAGTCATGCCAGCACAGGGCCAACGTGGCTTTGATGGTTTTCCACAGTAATTTTACGGAGACAGAACCTAGCCATTCTATGCTGGCCTTACCAGACATCATCCTAGCCTGTGACCAATTTAGATCCCTTTGAGATTCAATAGTTTGTCATTATTAACCCATCTGAGAGCCAGATGAGATTACTTCTTCCTGTCTTTTGAGTGTAGGACACCACTGAGATACAGTGCAGGGTTTATTTGGGTTAAATTAGTTCTGTTTGCATGCCACTTGGACATTTTAACTGGTAAACTTATTGAGTGGCCACAGTGAAAAAACGTTAGGATGCTGGACATCAAAGATGATTGGTAGGCCACGTGTGGTGGGGTAAAGTGTGGGTACGCGCTCATCTTCCAAGACGTCTGGTCGGCATGGAAGAGTAGACCAAATACCCCCAAGAACTTCCTCCAGTGGAGTTCCTACCACCAGCGGTGTCGTGAGCAAGCAGTTGCTGAGCTGCACCTTCACCATTTACTGAGAAACGAGGGCAATGTACCACGTGGTGACTTAGACCGCTGTGCATTTCTGTTTGTTAGCACGTGCCAATCCAGGCGTTCATTCCTAACATTAGACTGGAAACGGTTATCGGTTCCTGACTATTAGAGCCAGGTAATCAATTCTGAAAAGCCTCATCGGTTAATAACTCTACAGTTTAGTAATGGTCTATATGTAAGGGAGCGTTGGGATTCGTTATCTCTACATTTGTAATTATTTTAGCCCTCTCAGTACACTTTTAGATTAATTATACCCAACAGCCATTTCCACTTCCTGCCTCACACAGAATATCACTCCTGAGTTGCAATGATGATGCTTGTGGCTGGTTTCGCTAAACTCTTCTGAGAGGAAATGATGCCTTTGTGTTCCACTTGGCTGGCTGAGCAGCTCACAGACTCCAATTCACACTACTGGCAGGGCATGGCGATGCTTGTTCATAACCTCGTCGCTTGTCTGTGGTTCTATAACGTGTGGTGGTGCTCTTTCTGGTTGCGATGTGCAGGTTCACTTGGCGCTGTGAGGAGGTGTTGTATGGACAGCGTCTATTCAGGACCACGAGCACCATGCCAACAGGTGCACTTACAGTGACTTGTGCTCTTTTTCCACTGAAACATCTGAGTCAATCCAACACAGGGCCAACATGGCTTTGATGGTTTTCCACAGGAATTTTACGGAGCCAGAACCTAGCCATTCTACGCTGGCCTTACCAGACATCATCGTAGCCTGTGACCAATTTAGATCCCTTTGAGATTCAATAGTTTGTCATTATTAACCCATCTGAGAGCCAGATGAGATTGCTTCTTCCTGTCCTTTGTAGGACACCACTGAGATACAGTGCAGGGTTTATTTGGGTTAAATTAGTTTTGTTTGCATTGCACTTGAACATTTTTAACTGATAAACTTATTGAGTGGCCACAGTGAAAAAAAACGTTAGGATGCTGGACATCAAAGGTGATTGGTAGGTCACGTGTGGTGGGGTAAAGTGTGGGTACGCCCTCATCTTCCAAGACGTCTGGTCAGCATGGAAGAGTTGACCAAATACCCCCAAGAACTTCCTCCAGTGAGTTCCTACCACCAGCGGTGTCATGAGCAAGCAGTTGCTGAGCTGCACCTGCACCATTTACTGAGAAACAAGGGCAATGTACCACGTGGTGACTTAGAACGCTGTGCATTTATTTTTGTTAGCACGTTCCAATCCAGGCGTTCATTCCTAACATTACACTGGAAACGGTTATCGGTTCCTGACTATTAGAGCCAGGTAATCAATTCTGAAAAGCATCATCGGTTAATAACTCTACAGTTTAGTAATGGTCTATATGTAAGGGAGCGTTGGGATTTGTTATCTCTACATTTGTAATTATTTTAGCCCTCTCAGTACACTTTTAGATTCATTATACCCAACAGCCATTTCCACTTCCTGCCTCACACATAATATCACTCCTGAGTTGCAATGATGATGCTTGTGGCTGGTTTCGCTAAACTCTTCTGAGAGGAAATGATGCCTTTGTGTTCCACTTGGCTGGCTGAGCAGCTCACAGACTTCAATTCACACTGTACTGACAGGGCATGGCGATGCTTGTTCAATACCTCGTCGCTTGTCTGTGGTTCTATAACGTGTGGTGGTGGTGGTGGTGCGCTTTGTGGTTGCGATGTGCAGGTTCACTAGGTGCTGAGGAGGTGTTGTATGGACAGCGTCTATTCAGGACAACGAGCACCATGCCAACAGGTGCACTTACAGTGACTTGTGCTCTTTTTCCACTGGAACGTCTGAGTCATGCCAGCACAGGGCCAACATGGCTCTGATGGTTTCCACAGGAATTTTACGGAGCCAGAACCTAGCCATTCTACGCTGGCCTTACCAGACATCATCGTAGCCTGTGACCAATTTAGAGCCCTTTGAGATTCAATAGTTTGTCATTATTAACCCATCTGAGAGCCAGATGAGATTGCTTCTTCCTGTCCTTTGAGTGTAGGACACCACTGAGATACAGTGCAGGGTTTATTTGGGTTAAATTAGTTTTGTTTGCATTGCACTTGAACATTTTTAACTGATAAACTTATTGAGTGGCCACAGTGAAAAAAAACGTTAGGATGCTGGACATCAAAGGTGATTGGTAGGTCACGTGTGGTGGGGTAAAGTGTGGGTACGCCCTCATCTTCCAAGACGTCTGGTCAGCATGGAAGAGTAGACCAATTACCCCCAATAACTTCCTCCATTGAGTTCCTACTTCCAGCGGTGTCGTGAGCAAGAAGTTGCTGAGCTGCACCTTCACCATTTACTTAGAAACGAGGGCAATGTACCACGTGGTGACTTAGACCGCTGTGCATTTCTTTTTGTTAGCACGTGCCAATCCATGCGTTCATTCCTAACATTACACTGGCAACGGTTATCGGTTCTTGACTATTAGAGCCAGGTAATCAATTCTGAAAAGCATCATCGGTTAATAACTCTACAGTTTAGTAATGGTTTTTATGTAAGGGAGCGTTGGGATTTGTTATCTCTACATTTGTAATTATTTTAGCCCTCTCAGTACACTTTTAGATTCATTATACCCAACAGCCATTTCCACTTCCTGCCTCACACATAATATCACTCCTGAGTTGCAATGATGATGCTTGTGGCTGGTTTCGCTAAACTCTTCTGAGAGGAAATGATGCCTTTGTGTTCCACTTGGCTGGCTGAGCAGCTCACAGACTCCAATTCACACTGTACTGGCAGGGCATGGCGATGCTTGTTCATAACCTCGTCGCTTGTCTGTGGTTCTATAACGTGTGGTGGTGGTGGTGCGCTTTGTGGTTGCGATGTGCAGGTTCACTGGGCGCTGTGAGGAGGTGTTGTATGGACAGCGTCTATTCAGGACCACGAGCAACATGCCAACAGGTGCACTTACAGTGACTTGTGCCCTTTTTCCACTGGAACATCTGAGTCATGCCAGCACAGGGCCAACGTGGCTTTGATGGTTTTCCACAGGAATTTTACGGAGCCAAAACCAAGCCATTCTACGCTGGCCTTACCAGACATCATCGTAGCCTGTGACCAGTTTAGATCCCTTTGAGATTCAATAGTTTGTCATTATTAACCCATCTGATAGCCAGATGAGATTACTTCTTCCTGTCCTTTGAGTGTAGGACACCACTGAGATACAGTGCAGGGTTTATTTGGGTTGTTAAATTAGATTTGTTTGCATGGCACTTGGACACTTTTTAGCTGATAAACTAATTGAGTGGTCACAGTGATGTAACTGTTAAGATGCTGGACATCAAAGATGATGGGTAGGTCACGTGTGGTGGGGTAAAGTGTGGGTACGCCCTGATCTTCCAAGACGTCTGGTCAGCATGGAAGAGTAGACCAAATACCCAAAAGAACTTACTCCAGTGAGTTCCTACCACCAGCGGTGTCATGAGCAAGCAGCTGCTGAGCTGCACCTTCACCATTTACTGAGAAACGAGGGCAATGTACCACGTGGTGACTTAGACCGCTGTGCATTTCTTTTTGTTAGCACGTGCCAATCCAGGCGTTCATTCCTAACATTAGACTGGAAACGGTTATCGGTTCCTGACTATTTGAGCCAGGTCATCAATTCTGAAAAGCATCATCGGTTAATAACTCTACAGTTTAGTAATGGTCTATATTTAAGGGAGCGTTGGGATTTGTTTTCTCTACATTTGTAATTATTTTAGCCCTCTCAGTACAATTTTAGATTAATTATACCCAACAGGCATTTCCACTTCCTGCCTTGCACAGAATACCACTCCTGAGTTGCAATGATGATGCTTGTGGCTGGTTTCGCTAAACTCTTCTGAGAGGAAATGATGCCTTTGTGTTCCACTTGGCTGGCTGAGCAGCTCACAGACCCCAATTCACACTGTACTAGCAGGGCATGTCGATGCTTGTTCATAACCTCGTCGCTTGTCTGTAGTTCTATAACGTGTGGTGGTGGTGGTGTGCTTTCTGGTTGCGATGTACAGGTTCACTAGGCGCTGTGAGGAGGTGTTGCATTGACAGCGTCTATTCAGGACCACGAGCACCATGCCAACAGGTGCACTTACAGTGACTTGTGCTCTTTTTCCACTGGAACATCTGAGTCATGCCAGCACAGGGCCAACGTGGCTTTGATGGTTTTCCACAGTAATTTTACGGAGACAGAACCAAGCCATTCTACGCTGGCCTTACCAGACATCGTAGCCTGTGACCAATTTAGAGCCCTTTGAGATTCAATAGTTTGTCATTATTAACCCATCTGAGAGCCAGATGAGATTACTTGTTCCTGTCCTTTGAGTGTAGGACACCACTGAGATACAGTGCAGGGTTTATTTTGGTTAAATTGTTTTGTTTGCATGGCACTTGGACATTTTTAACTGATAAACTTATTGAGTGGCCACAGTGAAAAAAAACGTTAGGATGCTGGACATCAAAGGTGATTGGTAGGTCACATGTGGTGGGGTAAAGTGTGGGTACGCCCTCATCTTCCAAGACGTCTGGTCAGCATGGAAGAGTAGACCAAATACCCCCAAGGACTTCCTCCAGTGAGTTCCTACCACCAGTGGTGTCGTGAGCAAGCAGTTGTTGAGCTGCACCTTCACCATTTATTGAGAAACAAGGGCAATGTACCACGTGGTGACTTAGAACGCTGTGCATTTATTTTTGTTAGCACGTTCCAATCCAGGCGTTCATTCCTAACATTACACTGGAAACGGTTATCGGTTCCTGACTATTAGAGCCAGGTAATCAATTCTGAAAAGCATCATCGGTTAATAACTCTACAGTTTAGTAATGGTCTATATGTAAGGGAGCGTTGGGATTTGTTATCTCTACATTTGTAATTATTTTAGCCCTCTCAGTACACTTTTAGATTCATTATACCCAACAGGCATTTCCACTTCCTGCCTTGCACAGAATACCACTCCTGAGTTGCAATGATGATGCTTGTGGCTGGTTTCGCTAAACTCTTCTGAGAGGAAATGATGCCTTTGTGTTCCACTTGGCTGGCTGAGCAGCTCACAGACTCCAATTCACACTGTACTGACAGGGCATGGCGATGCTTGTTCAATACCTCGTCGCTTGTCTGTGGTTCTATAACGTGTGGTGGTGGTGGTGGTGCGCTTTGTGGTTGCGATGTGCAGGTTCACTAGGTGCTGAGGAGGTGTTGTATGGACAGCGTCTATTCAGGACAACGAGCACCATGCCAACAGGTGCACTTACAGTGACTTGTGCTCTTTTTCCACTGGAACGTCTGAGTCATGCCAGCACAGGGCCAACATGGCTCTGATGGTTTCCACAGGAATTTTACGGAGCCAGAACCTAGCCATTCTACGCTGGCCTTACCAGACATCATCGTAGCCTGTGACCAATTTAGAGCCCTTTGAGATTCAATAGTTTGTCATTATTAACCCATCTGAGAGCCAGATGAGATTGCTTCTTCCTGTCCTTTGAGTGTAGGACACCACTGAGATACAGTGCAGGGTTTATTTGGGTTAAATTAGTTTTGTTTGCATTGCACTTGAACATTTTTAACTGATAAACTTATTGAGTGGCCACAGTGAAAAAAAACGTTAGGATGCTGGACATCAAAGGTGATTGGTAGGTCACGTGTGGTGGGGTAAAGTGTGGGTACGCCCTCATCTTCCAAGACGTCTGGTCAGCATGGAAGAGTAGACCAATTACCCCCAATAACTTCCTCCATTGAGTTCCTACTTCCAGCGGTGTCGTGAGCAAGAAGTTGCTGAGCTGCACCTTCACCATTTACTTAGAAACGAGGGCAATGTACCACGTGGTGACTTAGACCGCTGTGCATTTCTTTTTGTTAGCACGTGCCAATCCATGCGTTCATTCCTAACATTACACTGGCAACGGTTATCGGTTCTTGACTATTAGAGCCAGGTAATCAATTCTGAAAAGCATCATCGGTTAATAACTCTACAGTTTAGTAATGGTTTTTATGTAAGGGAGCGTTGGGATTTGTTATCTCTACATTTGTAATTATTTTAGCCCTCTCAGTACACTTTTAGATTCATTATACCCAACAGCCATTTCCACTTCCTGCCTCACACATAATATCACTCCTGAGTTGCAATGATGATGCTTGTGGCTGGTTTCGCTAAACTCTTCTGAGAGGAAATGATGCCTTTGTGTTCCACTTGGCTGGCTGAGCAGCTCACAGACTCCAATTCACACTGTACTGGCAGGGCATGGCGATGCTTGTTCATAACCTCGTCGCTTGTCTGTGGTTCTATAACGTGTGGTGGTGGTGGTGCGCTTTGTGGTTGCGATGTGCAGGTTCACTGGGCGCTGTGAGGAGGTGTTGTATGGACAGCGTCTATTCAGGACCACGAGCAACATGCCAACAGGTGCACTTACAGTGACTTGTGCCCTTTTTCCACTGGAACATCTGAGTCATGCCAGCACAGGGCCAACGTGGCTTTGATGGTTTTCCACAGGAATTTTACGGAGCCAAAACCAAGCCATTCTACGCTGGCCTTACCAGACATCATCGTAGCCTGTGACCAGTTTAGATCCCTTTGAGATTCAATAGTTTGTCATTATTAACCCATCTGATAGCCAGATGAGATTACTTCTTCCTGTCCTTTGAGTGTAGGACACCACTGAGATACAGTGCAGGGTTTATTTGGGTTGTTAAATTAGATTTGTTTGCATGGCACTTGGACACTTTTTAGCTGATAAACTAATTGAGTGGTCACAGTGATGTAACTGTTAAGATGCTGGACATCAAAGATGATGGGTAGGTCACGTGTGGTGGGGTAAAGTGTGGGTACGCCCTGATCTTCCAAGACGTCTGGTCAGCATGGAAGAGTAGACCAAATACCCAAAAGAACTTACTCCAGTGAGTTCCTACCACCAGCGGTGTCATGAGCAAGCAGCTGCTGAGCTGCACCTTCACCATTTACTGAGAAACGAGGGCAATGTACCACGTGGTGACTTAGACCGCTGTGCATTTCTTTTTGTTAGCACGTGCCAATCCAGGCGTTCATTCCTAACATTAGACTGGAAACGGTTATCGGTTCCTGACTATTTGAGCCAGGTCATCAATTCTGAAAAGCATCATCGGTTAATAACTCTACAGTTTAGTAATGGTCTATATTTAAGGGAGCGTTGGGATTTGTTTTCTCTACATTTGTAATTATTTTAGCCCTCTCAGTACAATTTTAGATTAATTATACCCAACAGGCATTTCCACTTCCTGCCTTGCACAGAATACCACTCCTGAGTTGCAATGATGATGCTTGTGGCTGGTTTCGCTAAACTCTTCTGAGAGGAAATGATGCCTTTGTGTTCCACTTGGCTGGCTGAGCAGCTCACAGACCCCAATTCACACTGTACTAGCAGGGCATGTCGATGCTTGTTCATAACCTCGTCGCTTGTCTGTAGTTCTATAACGTGTGGTGGTGGTGGTGTGCTTTCTGGTTGCGATGTACAGGTTCACTAGGCGCTGTGAGGAGGTGTTGCATTGACAGCGTCTATTCAGGACCACGAGCACCATGCCAACAGGTGCACTTACAGTGACTTGTGCTCTTTTTCCACTGGAACATCTGAGTCATGCCAGCACAGGGCCAACGTGGCTTTGATGGTTTTCCACAGTAATTTTACGGAGACAGAACCAAGCCATTCTACGCTGGCCTTACCAGACATCGTAGCCTGTGACCAATTTAGAGCCCTTTGAGATTCAATAGTTTGTCATTATTAACCCATCTGAGAGCCAGATGAGATTACTTGTTCCTGTCCTTTGAGTGTAGGACACCACTGAGATACAGTGCAGGGTTTATTTTGGTTAAATTGTTTTGTTTGCATGGCACTTGGACATTTTTAACTGATAAACAAATTGAGTGGCCACAGTGAAAAAAAACGTTGGGATGCTGGACATCAAAGATGATTGGTAGGTCACATGTGGTGGGGTAAAGTGTGGGTACGCCCTCATCTTCCAAGACGTCTGGTCAGCATGGAAGAATAGACCAAATACCCCCAAGAACTTCCTCCAGTGAGTTCCTACCACCAGCGGTGTCGTGAGCAAGCAGCTGCTGAGCTGCACCTTCACCATTTACTGAGAAACGAGGGCAATGTACCACGTGGTGACTTAGACCGCTGTGCATTTCTTTTTGTTAGCACGTGCCAATGCAGGCGTTCATTCCTAACATTACACTGGAAACGGTTATCGGTTCCTGACTATTAGAGCCAGGTAATCAATTCTGAAAAGCCTCATCGGTTAATAACTCTACAGTTTAGTAATGGTCTATTTGTAAGGGAGCGTTATGATTTGTTTTCTATACATTTGTAATTATTTTAGCCCTCAGTACACTTTTAGATTAATTATACCCAACAGACATTTCCACTTCCTGCCTCACACATTATATCACTCCTGAGTTGCAATGATGATGCTTGTGGCTGGTTTCGCTAAACTCTTCTGAGAGGAAATGATGCCTTTGTGTTCCACTTGGCTGGCTGAGCAGCTCACAGACCCCAATTCACACTGTACTAGCAGGTCATGTCGATGCTTGTTCATAACCTCGTCGCTTGTCTGTAGTTCTATAACGTGTGGTGGTGGTGCGCTTTGTGGTTGCGATGTGCAGGTTCACTAGGCGCTGTGAGGAGGTGTTGCATTGACAGCGTCTATTCAGGACCACGAGCACCATGCCAACAGGTGCACTTACAGTGACTTGTGCTCTTTTTCCACTGGAACATCTGAGTAATGCCAGCACAGGGCCAACATGGCTTTGATGGTTTTCCACAGGAATTTTACGGAGCCAGAACCTAGCCATTCTACGCTGGCCTTACCAGACATCATCGTAGCCTGTGACCAGTTTTGATCCCTTTGAGATTCAATAGTTTGTCATTATTAACCCATCTGATAGCCAGATGAGATTACTTCTTCCTGTCCTTTGAGTGTAGGACACCACTGAGATACAGTGCAGGGTTTATTTGGGTTGTTAAATTAGTTTTGTTTGAATGGCACTTGGACATTTTAACTGATAAACTAATTGAGTGGCCACAGTGATGTAACTGTTAAGATGCTGGCCATCAAAGATGATGGGTAGGTCACGTGTGGTGGGGTAAAGTGTGGGTACGCCCTCATCTTCCAAGACGTCTGGTCAGCATGGGAGAGTAGACCAAATACCCCCAATAACTTCCTCCAGTGAGTTCCTACCACCAGCGGTGTCGTGAGCAAGCAGCTGCTGAGCTGCACCTTCACCATTTACTGAAAAACGAGGGAAATGTACCACGTGGTGACTTAGACCGCTGTGCATTTCTTTTTGTTAGCACGTTCCAATCCAGGCGTTCATTCCTAACATTACACTGGAAACGGTTATCGGTTCCTGACTATTTGAGCCAGGTCATCAATTCTGAAAAGCATCATCGGTTAATAACTCTACAGTTTAGTAATGGTCTATATTTAAGGGAGCGTTGGGATTTGTTTTCTCTACATTTGTAATTATTTTAGCCCTCTCAGTACAATTTTAGATTAATTATACCCAACAGGCATTTCCACTTCCTGCCTTGCACAGAATACCACTCCTGAGTTGCAATGATGATGCTTGTGGCTGGTTTCGCTAAACTCTTCTGAGAGGAAATGATGCCTTTGAGTTCCACTTGGCTGGCTGAGCAGCTCACAGACCCCAATTCACACTGTACTAGCAGGGCATGTCGATGCTTGTTCATAACCTCGTCGCTTGTCTGTAGTTCTATAACGTGTGGTGGTGGTGGTGTGCTTTCTGGTTGCGATGTACAGGTTCACTGGGCGCTGTGAGGAGGTGTTGCATTGACAGCGTCTATTCAGGACCACGAGCACCATGCCAACAGGTGCACTTACAGTGACTTGTGCTCTTTTTCCACTGGAACATCTGAGTCATGCCAGCACAGGGCCAACATGGCTTTGATGGTTTTCCACAGGAATTTTACGGAGCCAGAACCTAGCCATTCTACGCTGGCCTTACCAGACATCATCGTAGCCTGTGACCAGTTTTGATCCCTTTGAGATTCAATAGTTTGTCATTATTAACCCATCTGAGAGCCAGATGAGATTACTTCTTCCTGTCCTTTGAGTTTAGGACACCACTGAGATACATTGCAGGGTTTATTTGGGTTAAATTAGTTCTGTTTGCATGGCACTTGGACATTTTTAACTGATAAACTTATTGAGTGGCCACAGTGAAAAAAACGTTAGGATGCTGGACATCAAAGATGATTGGTAGGTCACATGTGGTGGGGTAAAGTGTGGGTACGCCCTCATCTTCCAAGACATCTGGTCAGCATGGGAGAGTAGACCAAATACCCCCAAGAACTTCCTCCAGTGAGTTCCTACCACCAGCGGTGTCGTGAGCAAGCAGCTGCTGAGCTGCACCTTCACCATTTACTGAGAAACGAGGGCAATGTACCATGTGGTGACTTAGACCGCTGTGCATTTCTTTTTGTTAGCACGTGCCAATCCAGGCGTTCATTCCTAACATTAGACTGGAAACGGTTATCGGTTCCTGACTATTTGAGCCAGGTCATCAATTCTGAAAAGCATCATCGGTTAATAACTCTACAGTTTAGTAATGGTCTATATTTAAGGGAGCGTTGGGATTTGCTTTCTCTACATTTGTAATTATTTTAGCCCTCTCAGTACAATTTTAGATTAATTATACCCAACAGGCATTTCCACTTCCTGCCTTGCACAGAATACCACTCCTGAGTTGCAATGATGATGCTTGTGGCTGGTTTCGCTAAACTCTTCTGAGAGGAAATGATGCCTTTGTGTTCCACTTGGCTGGCTGAGCAGCTCACAGACCCCGATTCACACTGTACTAGCAGGGCATGTCGATGCTTGTTCATAACCTCGTCGCTTGTCTGTAGTTCTATAACGTGTGGTGGTGTGCTTTGTGGTTGCGATGTGCAGGTTCACTAGGCGCTGTGAGGAGGTGTTGCATTGACAGCGTCTATTCAGGACCACAAGCACCATGCCAACAGGTGCACTTACAGTGACTTGTGCCCTTTTTCCACTGGAACATCTGAGTCATGCCCCACAGCGCCAACATGGCTTTAATGGTTTTCCACAGTAATTTTACAGAGCCAGAACCTAGCCATTCTACGCTGGCCTTACCAGACATCATCGTAGACTGTGACCAATTTAGAGCCTAATCGAGTCTCTCACCTTTCTGAAGAGATGCCGCGACTCTAAGGCGCTTTGTTCCTCTCACACAGCTTAAAGGCCGTGATCTGAACGTGGCTCTTTCACTCCAGTGCTGTCCTACCAGACAGTCTCGTCCCTTCACCTGATGAAGGCCGCTTGTGTTGTGGCCGAAACGTCGTGAGAATATTATTGTGTTATTTTATTTTATCAATTTATTATTTTATTCTCATTCTACGTGACTTTACCGAAAGAACCAAAGAAGACAATTTAGAGCCCTTTGAGATTCAATATTTTGTCATTATTAAACCATCTGATAGCCAGATGAGATTACTTCTTCCTGTCCTTTGAGTGTAGGACACCACTGAGATACAGTGCAGGGTTTATTTGGGTTGTTAAATTAGTTTTGTTTGAATGGCACTTGGACATTTTAACCGATAAACTAATTGAGTGGCCACAGTGATGTAACTGTTAAGATGCTGGCCATCAAAGATGATGGGTAGGTCACATGTGGTGGGGTAAAGTGTGGGTACGCCCTCATCTTCCAAGACGTCTGGTCAGCATGGAAGAATAGACCAAATACCCCCAAGAACTTCCTCCAGTGAGTTCCTACCACCAGCGGTGTCGTGAGCAAGCAGTTGCTGAGCTGCACCTTCACCATTTACTGAGAAACGAGGGCAATGTACCACGTGGTGACTTAGACCGCTGTGCATTTATTTTTGTTAGCACGTGCCAATGCAGGCGTTCATTCCTAACATTACACTGGAAATGGTTATCGGTTGCTGACTATTAGAGCCAGGTAATCAATTCTGAAAAGCCTTATCGGTTAATTACTCTACAGTTTAGTAATGGTCTATATGTAAGGGAGCGTTGGGATTTCTTATCTCTACATTTGTAGTTATTTTAGCCCTCAGTACACTTTTAGATTAATTATACCCAACAGCCATTTCCACTTCCTGCCTCACGCATAATATCACTCCTGAGTTGCAATGATGATGCTTGTGGCTGGTTTCGCTAAACTCTTCTGAGAGGAAATGATGCCTTTGTGTTCCACTTGGCTGGCTGAGCAGCTCACAGACCCCAATTCACACTGTACTAGCAGGGCATGTCGATGCTTGTTCATAACCTCGTCGCTTGTCTGTAGTTCTATAACGTGTGGTGGTGGTGGTGTGCTTTGTGGTTGCGATGTGCAGGTTCACTAGGCGCTGTGAGGAGGTGTTGCATTGACAGCGTGTATTCAGGACCACGAGCACCATGCCAACAGGTGCACTTACAGTGACTTGTGCTCTTTTTCCACTGGAACATCTGAGTCATGCCAGCACAGGGCCAACATGGCTCTGATGGTTTTCAACAGGAATTTTACGGAGCCAGAACCTAGCCATTCTATGCTGGCCTTACCAGACATCATCCTAGCCTGTGACCAATTTAGATCCCTTTGAGATTCAATAGTTTGTCATTATTAACCCATCTGAGAGCCAGATGAGATTACTCGTTCCTGTCCTTTGAGTGTAGGACACCACTGAGATACATTGCAGGGTTTATATTCTTAGTTTTTTCGGTAAAGTCACGTTGAAGAGAAACAACAAAATAACAAAATATATATAAAACAATAAAAAATTCTCACGACGTTTCGACCATAACTCAAACGGTCATCATCAGGTGTGTCGGTTTGCATAAATTTATTTTGAAAACGACATATTTATTTATTTATATATAAAAAATAACGTTTGCGTCACGCGCAACGATTGGCAGTTTGCCCAGGACTAGTCCATCTATTTTTTGAAAAGAGGAGGGGGGAGACGAAATTTGTTTTTATGTATGCTGTCTGAAAGCCACTGTAAGCGTGAACAATCAATCAAGAACTGAAATGATTTATCAAATCTTTCCAATGATTGCTAAGATAGAATCCATCTTCTCGGTTGAAATTGTCTCTGTGCTTGTATATGTGGATAGCCTCATGAACGAATCTCTCATGGAAGCCAGATGGCTTACAAAGAACCTCCGTCTTGGAAAAGTCAATGGCATGTGAGCCTACTGAATTAGAACAATGATCTGCTACGGCCGAGGTGTTGGTCCTACCGTGTTTAAGGTCTGCTTTATGTTCACGAATGCGGTCCGAGATATGGCGTTTGGTTTCTCCAATGTAACTACTACCACAGAGGCAACTTAGTTTGTAGACACCAGGGTATTGTATGTCCGGAATCACATCTTTTACAGACGGAACCAGATCACGGATTTTATGTAATGTGTTGAAACGGACCTGGATCTTGTGTTTATTCAAGATTTTGGAGATCTTTTTTGTGATCCCAGCAATGTAGGGTAAAGTGATGGTTTTGAAAGGCTCCTCAAGAGGGTTCTTCTTCATGGTTTGAGTGATAGCTTTGCGGATTGTATAGTCGGAGTAACCATTAGCCCTAAGAGCTTGGTGTACGTGCTTGAGTTCACTGCTTATGTGTTCCTGGTCGGATATGCATTGGGCTCTATGATACAGAGTCTTGATGAGAGAATTCTTCTCTGATGGATGGTGGTGGGAATCCGGTTTCAGATAAGCATCCGTATGGGTAGCTTTCCTGTAGACAGAGTGGCTCATTGAACCATCAGGTCTCTTTTTAATTAGGACATCCAAAAAAGGTATCTTGCCATCTATTTCGACTTCCATGGTAAATCTGATGGCTGGGTGTATGGAATTGATGTGGTCGAAGAATTGGTCTAGAGCAGGCCGGCCATGTGGCCAGATGACAAAAGTGTCATCCACGTACCTCTTCCATTGGAAAGATTTGATAAATCATTTCAGTTCTTGATTGATTGTTCACGCTTACAGTGGCTTTCAGACAGCATACATAAAAACAAATTTCGTCTCCCCCCTCCTCTTTTCAAAAATAAAAAAAAAATAGATGGACTAGTCCTGGGCAAACTGCCAATCGTTGCGCGTGACGCAAACGTTATTTTTTATATATAAATAAATAAATATGTCGTTTTCAAAATAAATTTATGCAAACCGACACACCTGATGATGACCGTTTGAGTTATGGTCGAAACGTCGTGAGAATTTTTTATTGTTTTATATATATTTTGTTATTTTGTTGTTTCTCTTCAACGTGACTTTACCGAAAAAACTAAGAATATGAATTACTGCAGTCACGAAAGCTTTAAATCAAAATTTAATCGCCTCTACGGGGAGGGTTTTCACATAACTTTAAGATCCTTCAACAAACTCCGGGATAAGAAAGCTCAGCTGATCGAGTCTCTCACCTTCCTGAAGAGATGCCGCGACTCTGGGGTAATACCAATCGCATTTACACTCACCTCTGCTACTGTAACTTCTTCTAATGCGAAACGAATTCTTTTCAAAACTAGCTTAGCTCTTATCTCAGAAAAAATCAGACTTATACGCACAGAACTAGATCAGTTAGACAAGACACTCTACAAATCACACTTATCATTGACGGCAATAATGTCCACATCGGATTGGGAACATGTAGACAATATGACTGCCTCTTCAGCTGCTACTATGTCGACCAAATGTAAGGAAAACCTGATTTCCAAATTTAACCTCCTCTTCAACAAAAGACCGGACCCACACACCAAAAAGTTAGACGTTAATAAAGTCGTAATTAATCGCAGTAACAGTTCTATTTCCGATGGTCTGAAATCCGTTTTAGCTAAAGGTCTAAACTTTGCAGTCACACCTAAACACATACCAGTTAATGATATAATTGCCCAAGTAGACGTTGCTCTCAGGGGCCTGGGTCACATCGCTGCAGACGTAGCAAGATCTGAAATCGCTGCAACCCTCAAAAACGCTAAGATGCCAGCTAGCAACCTCAGCAAAGATGAGCGTTTTGAATTATATAAATTAAAAAAGAGGAATGATATTGTAGTTCTCTCAGCTGACAAAGGCAATGCTACTGTCATCATGGATAAAATAGAATACAACAACAAAATTAAAGAATTACTCGACGATGGTAGTTATACAAAAATAAAAAGAGATCCCACCAACAGCCTCGTCACACAAACCAACAAAATAATTTCTGATTCAACCGCATTAATTGATCAATCTAAACAGTTTTCGTTGAAACCTTCTGCTGCCAGGCCACCAAGATTATACGGCTTACCAAAAATACATAAAGTTGATACACCTCTTCGTCCCATAGTCTCTACTATCAGCTCCCCCACCTACAAACTAGCTCGTTTTTTGTCTGAAATCCTGCGTCCTTTCACTGGAAAGACCACCTCTGCGGTACAAAATTCTACTCACCTGGTAGCAACAATCAAGGGTATTTCCCTGTCCCCAGACGACCTGCTTGTCAGTTTTGATGTAGTTTCCTTATTCACCAAGGTTCCTGTACCTGACACCATTGCAATCATTGAAGACTTGGTTCATCAAGGACTAAACACTGAGGTACCCCCCCTGGTGAGACACTGTTTAACCAATACATACTTCACTTGGAATGGAACTTTCTACAAACAAACTGAGGGCACCCCAATGGGCTCCCCCCTTTCTCCAGTTATAGCTAACATTTTCATGGAGAAATTTGAGACTGACGCCATCCAGACTGCCACTCTGCGCCCAACCTTATGGAAGAGGTACGTGGATGACACTTTTGTCATCTGGCCACATGGCCGGCCTGCTCTAGACCAATTCTTCGACCACATCAATTCCATACACCCAGCCATCAGATTTACCATGGAAGTCGAAATAGATGGCAAGATACCTTTTTTGGATGTCCTAATTAAAAAGAGACCTGATGGTTCAATGAGCCACTCTGTCTACAGGAAAGCTACCCATACGGATGCTTATCTGAAACCGGATTCCCACCACCATCCATCAGAGAAGAATTCTCTCATCAAGACTCTGTATCATAGAGCCCAATGCATATCCGACCAGGAACACATAAGCAGTGAACTCAAGCACGTACACCAAGCTCTTAGGGCTAATGGTTACTCCGACTATACAATCCGCAAAGCTATCACTCAAACCATGAAGAAGAACCCTCTTGAGGAGCCTTTCAAAACCATCACTTTACCCTACATTGCTGGGATCACAAAAAAGATCTCCAAAATCTTGAATAAACACAAGATCCAGGTCCGTTTCAACACATTACATAAAATCCGTGATCTGGTTCCGTCTGTAAAAGATGTGATTCCGGACATACAATACCCTGGTGTCTACAAACTAAGTTGCCTCTGTGGTAGTAGTTACATTGGAGAAACCAAACGCCATATCTCGGACCGCATTCGTGAACATAAAGCAGACCTTAAACACGGTAGGACCAACACCTCGGCCGTAGCAGATCATTGTTCTAATTCAGTAGGCTCACATGCCATTGACTTTTCCAAGACGGAGGTACTTTGTAAGCCATCTGGCTTCCATGAGAGATTCGTTCATGAGGCTATCCACATATACAAGCACAGAGACAATTTCAACCGAGAAGATGGATTCTATCTTAGCAATCATTGGAAAGATTTGATAAATCATTTCAGTTCTTGATTGATTGTTCACGCTTACAGTGGCTTTCAGACAGCATACATAAAAACAAATTTCGTCTCCCCCCTCCTCTTTTCAAAAAATAGATGGACTAGTCCTGGGCAAACTGCCAATCGTTGCGCGTGACGCAAACGTTATTTTATATAAATAAATAAATATGCCGTTTTCAAAATAGATTTATGCAAACCGACACACCTGATGATGACCGTTTGAGTTATGGTCGAAACGTCGTGAGATTTTTTTATTGTTTTATATATATTTTGTTATTTTGTTGTTTCTCTTCAACGTGACTTTACCGAAAAAACTAAGAATATGAATTACTGCAGTCACGAAAGCTTTAAATCAAAATTTAATCGCCTCTACGGGGAGGGTTTTCACATAACTTTAAGATCCTTCAACAAACTCCGGGATAAGAAAGCTCAGCTGATCGAGTCTCTCACCTTCCTGAAGAGATGCCGCAACTCTGGGGTAATACCAATCGCATTTACACTCACCTCTGCTACTGTAACTTCTTCTAATGCGAAACGAATTCTTTTCAAAACTAGCTTAGCTCTTATCTCAGAAAAAATCAGACTTATACGCACAGAACTAGATCAGTTAGACAAGACACTCTACAAATCACACTTATCATTGACGGCAATAATGTCCACATCGGATTGGGAACATGTAGACAATATGACTGCCTCTTCAGCTGCTACTATGTCGACCAAATGTAAGGAAAACCTGATTTCCAAATATAACCTCCTCTTCAACAAAAGACCGGACCCACACACCAAAAAGTTAGACGTTAATAAAGTCGTAATTAATCGCAGTAACAGTTCTATTTCCGATGGTCTGAAATCCGTTTTAGCTAAAGGTCTAAACTTTGCAGTCACACCTAAACACATACCAGTTAATGATATAATTGCCCAAGTAGACGTTGCTCTCAGGGGCCTGGGTCACATCGCTGCAGACGTAGCAAGATCTGAAATCGCTGCAACCCTCAAAAACGCTAAGATGCCAGCTAGCAACCTCAGCAAAGATGAGCGTTTTGAATTATATAAATTAAAAAAGAGGAATGATATTGTAGTTCTCTCAGCTGACAAAGGCAATGCTACTGTCATCATGGATAAAATAGAATACAACAACAAAATTAAAGAATTACTCGACGATGGTAGTTATACAAAAATAAAAAGAGATCCCACCAACAGCCTCGTCACACAAACCAACAAAATAATTTCTGATTCAACCGCATTAATTGATCAATCTAAACAGTTTTCGTTGAAACCTTCTGCTGCCAGGCCACCAAGATTATACGGCTTACCAAAAATACATAAAGTTGATACACCTCTTCGTCCCATAGTCTCTACTATCAGCTCCCCCACCTACAAACTAGCTCGTTTTTTGTCTGAAATCCTGCGTCCTTTCACTGGAAAGACCACCTCTGCGGTACAAAATTCTACTCACCTGGTAGCAACAATCAAGGGTATTTCCCTGTCCCCAGACGACCTGCTTGTCAGTTTTGATGTAGTTTCCTTATTCACCAAGGTTCCTGTACCTGACACCATTGCAATCATTGAAGACTTGGTTCATCAAGGACTAAACACTGAGGTACCCCCCCTGGTGAGACACTGTTTAACCAATACATACTTCACTTGGAATGGAACTTTCTACAAACAAACTGAGGGCACCCCAATGGGCTCCCCCCTTTCTCCAGTTATAGCTAACATTTTCATGGAGAAATTTGAGACTGACGCCATCCAGACTGCCACTCTGCGCCCAACCTTATGGAAGAGGTACGTGGATGACACTTTTGTCATCTGGCCACATGGCCGGCCTGCTCTAGACCAATTCTTCGACCACATCAATTCCATACACCCAGCCATCAGATTTACCATGGAAGTCGAAATAGATGGCAAGATACCTTTTTTGGATGTCCTAATTAAAAAGAGACCTGATGGTTCAATGAGCCACTCTGTCTACAGGAAAGCTACCCATACGGATGCTTATCTGAAACCGGATTCCCACCACCATCCATCAGAGAAGAATTCTCTCATCAAGACTCTGTATCATAGAGCCCAATGCATATCCGACCAGGAACACATAAGCAGTGAACTCAAGCACGTACACCAAGCTCTTAGGGCTAATGGTTACTCCGACTATACAATCCGCAAAGCTATCACTCAAACCATGAAGAAGAACCCTCTTGAGGAGCCTTTCAAAACCATCACTTTACCCTACATTGCTGGGATCACAAAAAAGATCTCCAAAATCTTGAATAAACACAAGATCCAGGTCCGTTTCAACACATTACATAAAATCCGTGATCTGGTTCCGTCTGTAAAAGATGTGATTCCGGACATACAATACCCTGGTGTCTACAAACTAAGTTGCCTCTGTGGTAGTAGTTACATTGGAGAAACCAAACGCCATATCTCGGACCGCATTCGTGAACATAAAGCAGACCTTAAACACGGTAGGACCAACACCTCGGCCGTAGCAGATCATTGTTCTAATTCAGTAGGCTCACATGCCATTGACTTTTCCAAGACGGAGGTTCTTTGTAAGCCATCTGGCTTCCATGAGAGATTCGTTCATGAGGCTATCCACATATACAAGCACAGAGACAATTTCAACCGAGAAGATGGATTCTATCTTAGCAATCATTGGAAAGATTTGATAAATCATTTCAGTTCTTGATTGATTGTTCACGCTTACAGTGGCTTTCAGACAGCATACATAAAAACAAATTTCGTCTCCCCCCTCCTCTTTTCAAAAAATAGATGGACTAGTCCTGGGCAAACTGCCAATCGTTGCGCGTGACGCAAACGTTATTTTTTATATATTAATAAATAAATATGCCGTTTTCAAAATAGATTTATGCAAACCGACACACCTGATGATGACCGTTTGAGTTATGGTCGAAACGTCGTGAGATTTTTTTATTGTTTTATATATATTTTATTATTTTGTTGTTTCTCTTCAACGTGACTTTACCGAAAAAACTAAGAATATGAATTACTGCAGTCACGAAAGCTTTAAATCAAAATTGCAGGGTTTATTTGGGTTAAATTAGTTCTGTTTGCATGGCACTTGGACATTTTTAACTGATAAACTTATTGAGTGGCCACAGTGAAAAAAAACGTTAGGATGCTGGACATCAAAGATGATTGGTAGGTCACATGTGGTGGGGTAAAGTGTGGGTACGCCCTCATCTTCCAAGACGTCTGGTCAGCATGGGAGAGTTGACCAAATACCCTCAAGAACTTCCTCCAGTGAGTTCCTACCACCAGCGGTGTCGTGAGCAAGCAGTTGCTGAGCTGCACCTTCACCATTTACTGAGAAACGAGGGCAATGTACCACGTGGTGACTTAGAACGCTGTGCATTTATTTTTTTGTTAGCACGTGTCAATGCAGGCGTTCATTCCTAACATTACACTGGAAACGGTTATCGGTTCCTGACTATTAGAGCCAGGTAATCAATTCTGAAAAGCCTCATCGGTTACTAACTCTACAGTTTAGTAATGGTCTATTTGTAAGGGAGCGTTAGGATTTGTTTTCTCTACATTTGTAATTATTTTAGACCTCTCAGTACAATTTTATATTAATTATACCCAACAGCCATTTCCACTTCCTGCCTCACACATTATATCACTCCTGAGTTGCAATGATGATGCTTGTGGCTGGTTTCGCTAAACTCTTCTGAGAGGAAATGATGCCTTTGTGTTCCACTTGGCTGGCTGAGCAGCTCACAGACTCCAATTCACACTGTACTGGCAGGGCATGGTGATGCTTGTTCATAACCTCGTCGCTTGTCTGTGGTTCTATAACGTGTGGTGGTGGTGCGCTTTGTGGTTGCGATGTGCAGGTTCACTGGGCGCTGTGAGGAGGTGTTGCATTGACAGCGTCTATTCAGGACCACGAGCACCATGCCAACAGGTGCACTTACAGTGACTTGTGCTCTTTTTCCACTGGAACATCTGAGTCATGCCAGCACAGGGCCAACATGGCTTTGATGGTTTTCCACAGGAATTTTACGGAGCCAGAACCTAGCCATTCTACGCTGGCCTTACCAGACATCATCGTAACCTGTGACCAATTTAGAGCCGTATGAGATTCAATAGTTTGTCATTATTAACCCTTCTGAGAGCCAGATGAGATTACTTCTTCCTGTCCTTTGAGTGTAGGACACCACTGAGATACATTGCAGGGTTTATTTGGGTTAAATTAGTTCTGTTTGCATGGCACTTGGACATTTTTAACTGATAAACTAATTGAGTGGCCACAGTGAAAAAAAACTTAGGATGCTGGACTTCAAAGATGATTGGTAGGTCACATGTGGTGGGGTAAAGTGTGGGTATGCCCTCATCTTCCAAGACGTCTGGTCAGCATGGGAGAGTAGACCAAATACCCCCAAGAACTTCCTCCAGTGAGTTCCTACCACCAGCGGTGTCGTGAGCAAGCAGTTGCTGAGCTGCACCTTCACCATTTACTGAGAAACGAGGGCAATGTACCACGTGGTGACTTAGAACGCTGTGCATATCTTTTTGTTAGCACGTGCCAATCCAGGCGTTCATTCCTAACATTACACTGGAAATGGTTATCGGTTCCTGACTATTAGAGCCAGGTAATCAATTCTGAAAAGCCTTATCGGTTAATTACTCTACAGTTTAGTAATGGTATATATGTAAGGGAGCATTGGGATTTCTTATCTCTACATTTGTAATTATTTTAGCCCTCAGTACACTTTTAGATTAATTATACCCAACAGGCATTTCCACTTTTGCCTCGCACAGAATTTCACTCCTGAGTTGCAATGATGATGCTTGTGGCTGGTTTCGCTAAACTCTTCTGAGAGGAAATGATGCCTTTGTGTTCCACTTGGCTGGCTGAGCAGCTCACAGACCCCAATTCACACTGTACTAGCAGGGCATGTCGATGCTTGTTCATAACCTCGTCGCTTGTTTGTAGTTCTATAACGTGTGGTGGTGGTGGTGCGCTTTGTGGTTGCGATGTGCAGGTTCACTAGGCGCTGTGAGGAGGTCTTGTACGGACAGCGTCAAATCAGGCCCAAGACCACGAGCACCATGCCAACAGGTGCACTCACAGTGACTTGTGCCAGCACCAGGGCCAAAATAGCTGGTGGATTTCCCCTGGCATGTTACCAAGTCAGAACAGAGCCATGCTACGATTGCCTCACCAGACATTCCTTGACTGTGCATCGGTTTAGCTCCAGAGATCTGCACAACATTTCTCCACAAATTTAAAGACTCCAGCTCGCATCACGAGATAAGGGCTCCCATTTTGTGCGTTGAATCCAGCTTCGTGAGGTTCGACCGTGTTCTGAAGAAGAGAGATCATTTCTGTCGTCCTTGGCCAATCTGGCGTGGCTGGGTTGGGACCAGGGGAACCCTGTTGCTGTGCCCTTTGCACCCTCCCAGTGTGCTTGCGTGGCATCTGCCACTTGTTATCTTTCACTTGATGAACAGCATGGGCTGTTACTCTGAAGCAATCGACGTTTAACCTCTCCAGCGTTATGATTAGCTTCCAGCCGCACAATAGAACTCGAGCTTTGGGGGTTACGGCAGTTGCTCTAATTGCATGAGTCGTAATTATGTAAAAGTATTTTGAAAGGGCGCTTGGGACGATGCCAGCACCAAGATTGGAAGGGGTGGCAGTGCGAGCGTCGAGCGTATGGCACGACATGGTGTGAACGTGTTGCAATCCACATCAGTTGCTGATTTTACTCGTCGTGCTAAGCGACGCATCGGTCCAAAATGCCACGTTCGTGTAAGGTGTGCATTGTAAAAGTGTTGCCGCACACCAGCTAATGTTGTAACGATGATGAGTAAAAGGGAACGAGCATACAAAAAAAACCTCACCACTTGTTATCTAACACTGCCTGATAACAGACTTTACAGGCATTGTCTCACTCTTTGGTTCTTTCGGTAAAGTCACGTAGAAAGAAAAAAGAAATTAAATAAAAGCATATGACGTTTCGATTGCAACACAAGCAATCATCATCAGGTACAAACGAAAGAGAAAACAAACCTAGTAAACTTAGAAATATAGAGCAATACAACACAGAGAGTCGGCCAACACAACAGTCAACAACCTACCTGGTTGACTACGTTCCTCCAAAGATTGCTAAATTTGTGAGAGAGACAAAACAGACACGAGGAGACACACAGACACATAAGCAGAGAGAGACGCACAGTTTGGTTTCTATCTCTCTCTCTGTGTGTCTCTGTGTCACAATAATAATTTGTATACCAGCTCTCTGGGCTGGTATACATATTCGGAGACCTCAGTCAAAATTACAAAGGCATAAGGAGTACCATTTTGAAGGTTTTGTCTCGTTAAAAAAATATATGGCTCATGATAACTGTAACACGTAAGTTTGACACATACACGAATCTGAACCCTCGCTATCCATCCCAGTGTGGATGAGCAAGTTCTTTCATGTTAGCATAACACCATGGTATATGAGGAGCACATAAGTGTACAAGTTATTACGATGAGAACTACACTGCTATTTGGATGATTTACTGTGCCCAAAACAAGCCACTCGATGACATGGGCCCAGCAGTGTGGCCCAGCAGGAGTGCATTTCCTGCTTGTTTCAGAAGTTCGCAGTTGGAATTCAGCAGACCGCCCTGATTATTACCGCGGTGCGTACTAACTGTAAAAAAATGCTTCGTGCCATCTGCTTCGCGCACAGTGGACAATAAAGATTCCCGGGACATCATTTAAAACGAGGAGGCAATTTTCCAGCATTACGGGTCAATGTTTTCCCATTTGACAAATTACACCGCAAATTACTCAATTTGGATTATACGTAGCAATCGGCGCCTCCCTCCTGGCAGACTGATAGTCCCTTACAGGCTGTTGCAAATATAAATGCAATAGATGATTATGACTGTACATATACCCACATCTTTAAAGCATTTGAAATGTATGTTTGATGTTGTGGCGCTGCAGCTGTTTGGCATTCTCTTTGAGCGTTGGTGATATGTTTCTGGATTAGTTCTAATAAATATTCCATGCGCTGGGAACAAGTGCCGTTTCTCTTGTAGTTTATTGTGTTGTAAGTTTTATAAACGTGTTATCGTTCGTGCACTGAAGCACAGCTTAACACATTAACTGATTGTATCTATTGTAATCGTGAAATTATTTCTCGATTAAAATCGTGTTATGTCCATGTGTTCAATCCAGTCGTGAAATAATTTATTAATTATGCATTTTTCATGGAAATGATATGCAAGTGTTTCCCTGGAAAACTAATGGCATCGGAAGAAAAGAATGGAACAGTCCCTGCTGTCTGAAGCATCCTCCCTGGGGCCATCTGAGCTACTCGCTGTATCTTTCAATTCCAGGATTGAGAGCTCGTGAACGACGGCATAAGAATTATTTTACCCAGCACCCTCCTCTCCCTGTGTGGCCCCCCTTGCTTGAAAAACAATCTCCCATACAGAATAAGTGGTGAATCTGTCCAGATAGCTGCTTCAAGACCTGCCCCACCAATTTGACAGAATTAGGTGTCACTTGAAATTTTATCATCTGTAGTTTATGTACACTAGCTGGGATTAATGGGTTTTCCCCTTACCAGGCCTGACGCTGCTTATCCGATGTTCTGTTTACAATATCCCGGTGCGTGATACGATACATTTCTAAATCCGGTAACATGGAAGTCCAATTGAGAAGGAATGTTTGTCGGCGTTAAGAAGCCACTAACACGTGTTCCTGCCTTTGACACTCATTGATAACAAGTCAAATATATCTAGTAATGCTATACGTAATAGTATTTGTACACTCGCAAGTCAGACTAGTGCTGTGTGTGTTTTTGAGAAAATCTAGACTTAAAGCTTTCATGACTGCAGGAATTCATTATTTGGGTCTTTCCATAAAGTCAAGTATCTACGTGACTTTACCAAAGGACCCAATCGTGTTTTTAAGCAGCTACTAAGCAAATGCCCAAAACGTCGAGCGGCCAACAACAAACAGCACTAAGTGCTAAAACATTTTGTGAAATGAGAGCTTGGGGAAAATAGACTGATTAGGAGGAGGACATTCCACAGTGGAACAGTGTGAGGGGAGACGCAGAGAGAAGTGGTATGACCTGCAGTGGGGCAAGTGAATGCGTTGTGACCTGCAGTATCGCAGGAAATATGCAACATTGGCATGTGGTTGGAACCGTTGAATCAACGTCCCAACATCGCTCCAACGTACCGTATTTACTGGGATGGTGGTTGAACACGAACCTCCGATTAGCATGGTACAGTGTGAAATCAGTTCAACATACATACACACGTACATACAACGCAGTGTGGAATCGAGGAAACGGGCAGTGTCTGGGGAGACCGGGTCCTCAACACGGCCGTGGAAATCGACGAGCGAATTTCACGGCAACAGTAAGCATGTTTAGGAGTAGTAGCGATAAACATCACTGGCGAAATGTTAACTGCCTCGCCGGGTACGCAGAAGGACCGTGGGTTCGATCCCGACCCTGACGCCTGCTCTATATTTGGAGTTTGCGTGTTCTCCCCGTGGTCGCGTGGATTTGTCTCCGGGCCCTCCGGGTTTTCCCCTCCACCTTTAGAAACATTCGTTTACAGTATTTGGCTGCTATCAATATCCACATGATAAGCCACTTCGTTGAGCCATCATTTGTGGTCGGGTCGCTTCTAAAAAGAAAGAGCTACGATAGCTAAGTGGGCCTTACCTGGTAGAATAGGTTGAGGTAAGAAAGAGTGGTGTGGCATGTGCTGTGGGAATACCACCACCACGAGGAGTAATTGTGAATGTTTTCGCACCGTACATAGCCAACGTGAGCAGAGGCTGTACAGCTCTGAATGAGCGCCGAGCTGAGTTGCAATAATGTGTTTTGTATACTTAATGACGGTTAAAACCTTGAAACGACAAAGTCGAGATGTTGGGCAGAGTACAAAGTGCAAGAGGTGATATTGAGCAAAAAAAAAACTTCAAGATAACACTTTAGTGAAATAAGAAAAAAACTCGTGACGGGTACACGGCGAGGTCGCTACGCGGGGAGGGGGGAGGTGTAGTGGGCAGTCGCCTTCTGCTCCATTCAGAACAAGTGATGCGAAAGAAGTAGTGGAGTAGAGCACACGACATATACATCGTCCGTTATCTATCGCCTCGTGAATGACAGTGAGAGCCCGACATGACACGGGCCTCGGGTAATGCGATTACAGCATGGGCCGCGTTCTTATTACAGCCAACGACCCGTATGATGACATTGGGACTTGCATATGTGTCTCTTTGTGTGGGGAGCGGTGGCGCAGTGGTTAGCACTACGTTGCGATACGAACCTGGCGACCCGAGTTCGATTCCAGCTCACGGCCAACACCAGCGACAATTATCTGAACTGGTCATGGGCCTCTCCTAGGTATACTCAGCCTCAAAATGAGGATCTGGTGCGGTGTGTAAACTCGCCACTGGGGAGACAAAGGCGGCCGGGCGTGGCGTTGGCCACTCACCCCCTCGTGTGCCGTGCAGGCCTTCATAGGTGCTCGCTAACAGGACTTGTTCCAACAGTCTATTGAGGCTATATGGGGGATCTTTGTCCTTTGTCTTGTGGAATACCTTCGCCGGTGAGAAACATCCAGGCTGGCCTGCCGACGATTAATTCTGGGTTTAACCAAGCTGGATTGTGTGAGGAGCTCACAAATCCTTGAAAGATGTGGACAAGGACCCATCGGAGAGCTCCTCTGGCAGGCAAGGCTGCGTTGGCTGGGTCATGTAGCCCGCGTTGGCTGGGTCATGTAGCCCGCATGCCCAGCCACCGCATGCCAAAACAGCTTTTGTTCGGCCGGATTGAGGGGGCTGAACGGGCGCGGCACGGGCTGGAGTAGAGATGGAGTGATGTGGTACAGGAGGTTGTGGAGCTGAGTGGACTTGCCGATGACTGGAACCAGCGGTGTCAGGATCGGCCTCTGTGGAGGAGGCTCGTGAAGGACGCTGCTGCTACTGGGCAGAGGGAGGGCGGAGGAGCGACGCTCACAACAACGAGCGGAGCGCCGGGCGGCTAAAACACATCAAATTGGTACAGTAGGGGACACAAGTGGTGCATCGGCCATTCATCTCAGTCAGTCGACCCGTGGCACCTGCTGGGTTTGCGCCGTGACCTGCCAGCGGGCATTCGACACTTCACGTGGCCTCAACGTGCACATAGCTTGGCACAAGCGCTGTGATGACGTCACCACCATTTAGTGGCGAATAGCGGTTGTATCTCCGTGTGTGTGTCTCAGTATGTGATTCTGTCTCAGTGTGTGAGTATACCTCCGTGTGTGTCTCAGTATCTCCGTGTGTGATTGTGTCTCCGTGTCTGAGTGTGTCACCGTGTCTGAGTGTGTTTCCGTGTGTGAGTGTATCTCAGTGTGTGAGTGTGTCTCTGTGAGTCAGTATACCTCCGTGTGTGAGTGTGTCTCAGTATCTCCGTGTGTGATTGTCTCCGTGTCTAAGTGTGTCTCCGTGTGTGATTGTGTCTCCGTGTGTGTCTCCGTGTGTGATTGTGTCTCCGTGTCTGATTGTGTCTCCAGTGGCTGTTTGCACCACTGCCCCATGTTCGAGGACTGAGGGAGTGGAGAGGGCCGGAGGTGGGGGCTGACGGCTGTCTGCTGCCATGCTACGCCGTGACCAATGGAGAGAGTTGAGGGCTGGGATCGGAGCTCGATAGGCCAGTGAACGTTTGTTTTGTACACGTGGGCATGCCTTGACCCGTGGCCTATCGGGCTTCTATTTAACTGGGGGGGTTGAAAAATATCACCTTGGTTTGAATGGGATGCGAAAATACTAACTTTGAATAGATTCCATAATACAGGTTTTTTTTTTAGCGGGTTAGATCACGTACATATAAATGTGTTGTTAAACCCGCCACCACCCGACGCAGCAAATTAGTTAGGTTTGTCACGTGAACAGAACGTGCCAATTCTTTGCTAGTACAGCAAACCGGTGCGTTGGAGAGCAAATCCGAAACATTTACAATGAGTACGACGTTTTGCCAGTAATTACAACTAGCATTATCAGGCAGCTGCCAGATTTGTGAACTCCTGTTTCGCTCCTGAAATAGAGTGGTAGATGTGGTGACGTCACTTGTGAGCCCTTCACGTACGGGGGGATTAATGAATGCAATCAACGTACATTATGCATAAACATTATGTATGGGGCCGTCCATAAATGACGTCACGCACCTGGGGGGGGGGTCAGACATTTGTGACGATGTGTGACGATGGGGGGGGGGGGGGGTTGAGAAATTGCGCAACTTTAAATAAATATAGACAACACGTTCTACTTAATTAAATATACTTTATAATAAATGTTTTCTCCTACAACATCAGAGTGCAGCGCCACATTAAATACGCACTACAATGACAATAGTTTAAAGCGATTTGAAGCATGTTTTATTTTTGGGGGGGGGAGGGGGGGGCACAGCTTTGTGACGTCATATTTGAGGGGGGGGGGTCTAAACCGCGTGACGTCATTTATCGACGGCCCCTATGCACCTCCTGTCGTTTGTCTGCACTAAAACAGCAGCAACTGTTATTGTCTGCCCACAGGTAATCCCCATTGACGTATCGTGACCGGGATAGGCATGTATTTAAACAATGTATTAGATTAAAACTAAATTGGGCCAATACTGATATGGGCTGATCAACGCTAAGAAAGTAATGATAGCACCACAAGGAGGAAGAGAACATCTGAAATGCTGGTAATGCTGGGGAATTAGCCCTCCTGTAGTAACAGTCCCCACACCTTAGCAGGGTTGGCTATACGTACGGTGCAAAAGAAGTTCAACATACATAGTGCGCGACTAGGCTATGCGAAGGCACCAGAGGCGCAGTGACGACATTATCAGCTCAGGGGGTGCGGCAATCAATCAGATGGGGCCCCAATATTTGATTTGTCTCGCGCGCTCACACCAATGTTATTGCCTAATCGCATCGTTACGCTCACGGCCTCAAACATTTAACGCTGTTGGGGTGCTCCGTTTTCGAAAAATGCAGCCACTACAGCTCTCATGGTGGTTGTGAAGAGGG